GGTAAACGTCTGAGACCTGCATCACTTCAGGCTTTCCGCCCACATGAAGGTGACACGCCGTGATATAACTGGAATACTGTATTTAGCGGCGTTACACACAACTCATGCCAAAATCGCACCCTATGACAACATGACGAAGCAACCAGTCAGATGTATCCCCCACTTCTACACTGAGAAGATCCCTATGACATGTTGAGTAGTATATATGTTAATGAGGGCATACAAAACATGTGTACAACGACTAATTCTGAATAAGTGAGTGAGTTGGGTTTAACGCCGCTTTTAACAGTCAGCTTAATGTGGGAGGAAAACCCGAAGTGATGCAGGTCTCAGACGTTTACCACTCCGGAGAAACCCAGGAGCACGGGTAGGGTTCTGACAAACCTAGAAACATAATCGGGGCGAACCGGGATTCGAACCCACAATCATAGGCTTCTGGCGAGCCCAAGGGACGCAACTCTGCACAGCGAATCGCGGCGCCTTAGACGACTGGGCCACCCGTGCCCCCAATTCTGCCCCCAATGGTACATTTCTCGGTGTGTTATATCAGCGCGTGGATGTGATCACGATACAAGGGAGGTAAGTCTTGTTACTCTCGATGGGGCAATAAAATCCCACTTCGACTGTTACTTTAAATAACTGGTATCAGTTAATAACGCTAAGTCCTGTGCTGCCTTTAGTGGGCGTGTCAACAGCAGTATCACAATGGTATTAAGAAGTGAGCAAATGTAGCTTCGCCTTGACTCCCGGGTGTTATGAGACACGAGCACAATCAATGCATACTCCAATCTATAATGCATACCCGTCTCTCAATGCATACGCCTTTCCCATTTCCCATGTCCACCCAAGATGCATACTCCACCCCAGTGCATATGCCTTTCCTACGACACACGCCCACCTAAGTGTGCATCCTCCAACCACTGCATACGTCTTTACAATTACACATGTCAACCCAAGATGCATGTTCCAACCACTGCATACGCCTTTCCCATTACACATGCCCACCCAAGATGCATACTCCATCCCACTGCATACGCCTTTCCCATTACACACGCCTACCCACGTTGCATACTCCACCCCAGTGCATACGCCTTTCCCATTACACACGCCCACCCAAGATGCATGCTCCAACCACTGCTAACGCCTTTCCCATTACACACGCCCACCCAAGATTCATACTCCACCCCAGTGCAAAGGCCTTTCCCATTACACACGCCCATCCAAGATTCATACTCCAACCCACTGCATACGCCTTTCCCATTACACACGCCCACCCAAGATGCATACTCCAACCCACTGCATACGCCTTTCCCATTACACACGCCCACCCAAGATGCATACTCCAACCACTGCATACGCCTTTCCCATTACACACGCCCACCCAAGATGCATACTCCAACCACTGCATACGCCTTTCCCATTACACACGCCCACCCAAGATTCATACTCCAACCCACTGCAAACGCCTTTCCCATTACACACGCCAACCCAAGATTCATACTCCAACCCACTGCAAACGCCTTTCCCATTACACGCCCACCGGAGATGCATACTCCAACCCACTGCATACGCCTTTCCTACGACACACGCCCACCCAAGATGCATACTCCACCCCAGTGCATACGCCTTTCCCATTACACATGCCCACCCAAGATGCATACTCCACCCCACTGCATAGGCCTTTCCCATTACACATGTCCACCCAAGATGCATACTCGACCCCACTGCATAGGCCTTTCCCATTACACACACCCACCCAAGATGCATACTCCACCACAGTGCATACGCCTTTCCCATTACACACGCCCACCCAAGATGCATACTCCACCCCGCTGCATACGCCTTTCCCATTACACACGCCCACCCAAGATTCATACTCCACCCCACTGCATACGCCTTTCCCATTACACACGCCAACCCAAGATGCATGCTCCAACCACTGCATACGCCTTTCCCATTACACACGCCCACCCAAGATGCATACTCCACCACAGTGCATACGCCTTTCCCATTACACACGCCCATCCAAGATGCATACTCCACCCCACTGCATACGCCTTTCCCATTACACATGTCCACCCAAGATGCATACTCCAACCCACCGCATACGCCTTTCCCATTACACATGCCCACCCAAGATGCATACTCCAACCCACTGCATACGCCTTTCCTACGACACACGCCCACCCAAGATGCATACTCCACCCCAGTGCATACGCCTTTCCCATTACACATGCCCACCCAAGATGCATACTCCACCCACTGCATACGCCTTTCCCATTACACATGTCCACCCAAGATGCATACTCCACCCCACTGCAAACGCCTTTCCCATTACACACGCCTACCCAAGATGCATACTCCACCACAGTGCATACGCCTTTCCCATTACACATGTCCACCCAAGATGCATACTCCACCCCGCTGCATAGGCCTTTCCCATTACACACGCCCACCCAAGATTCATACTCCAACCCACTGCATACGACTTTCCCATTACACATGCCCACCCAAGATGCATACTCCACCCCAGTGCACACGGCTTTCCGAATACATACCCCATCCCAAGATGCATACCCCACGAATACAATGTCTTTCAAAATATATACCCCAATACATACCTCTTTTTTATTGCATACCACGCTCCTAATGCATCCCCCGATATCCCCATGATTCATGCATCAGTAGAAGTAAATCGCCATTACATACTTATGTAATGTGATACCGAGACACAAGGCATCTACTGGAGGGCACCACGGGGAGGACGTGAGCCATGGCGATGCAGCTAAAGAACGCAGGCATGACGAACGCATTGGGTACAGTTTGGACATCTTTCTAGACATCCACGCCTGACTTTCACTGCATACAAACCCTCCAACTACCCCAGGGCTGTATACCAGCCCTCGACCCGTGCCCCGGGCACCCCGACATTCCAGCTTCGGGAGGGAGGAAACTTTGCGAGGGCCTCCACATGCAAACATGGAAATTGGTTTCCAACACACGCACACACACTTGCTCATAGTAATGCGAATTGTTTCTCTTCCGTAATTTGTTTTACTCGTGTTAAAGAGGGAAGGCTTTTCAATATGGTATTTCTTTTCTTATTAATCCTGGTGTTTGTCAAAGGAAAACAACGCAGCCGGAACTGTGCAAGATGCTTTATCATGTCTTTACAACTGTGAACTCCGTCTTGACGCATATGATGAATCGTGGGTGAGTGAATGTTGATTTACGTAACAGTCAGCAATTTTACAGCTATATCATGGCGCCGGGCACAACATCGGCCAGACAGTACAAATCGTTGTACGATGACATACAATCAATCAGGTAGCACACTGAAACCACCGAGTATTCTGTCCCGGAATCCACATGGCAGACAAGCACAGGTAAACAGATACGTCCTATGTCCCGGAATCCAAATGATAGACACTCATGGACTACTAGATATGTATTCTGTCCCGGAATCCACATGGCAGACAACCACAGGTAAACAGATACGTTTTCTGTCCCGGAATCCAAATGGTAGACACTCATGGACTACTAGATATGTATTCTGTCCCGGAATTCAAATGGCAGACAAGTATGGACTACTAGATACGCATTCTGTCCCGGAATCCACATGGTAGACAAGCACAGGCTACTTCGTATGACTCTGCCCCGGTTTCCCCTTGGCAGACAAGAACGGGTTAATTTGGTACGAACTCTGCCCCGGAATCTGCATGGTAGACACTCAAAAGCTACTACGTACATATTCTGACCTGGAATCCCAACAGTAGACAGTCACGGGCTTTAGCGTAGGTAAATTGACCCGGAATCCAAATAGTAGACAGTCACAGGCTACAGCGTACGTATACTGACCCGGAATCCAAATAGTAGACAGTCACGGGCTACAGCGTACGTATTCTGACAAGGAATCTACACAATACGAAGAGGGCCTTTACAACAGCATATATTACTTTACACAAGGCATTATATACATTGTTTAGATATACTTCACTGAGAACATATACACATGCACAAACTGGAAAGCTATTCGTTTGTCAACACGCCCCATGTTAAAGCGGGTCTTGTTTGTTTGTTGTTTAACGCCGCACTCACCAATTTTCCAGCTATATGACGGCGGTCTGTAAATAATCGAGTCTGGAACAGACAATCCAGTGATTGACATCATGAACATCCACACATTTGGGATACGGTGACATGCATCAACCAAGTCAGCGAGTCTGACCACCCGATCCCTTGAATCGCCTCTTACGACAAGCATAGTCGCCTTTTACGGCAAGCATGGGTGGCTGAAGACCTATTCTACCCCGGTTCATCAGGGGTGTAAAGAGGGTGTTAAATCGGCCAGTTTGCTTTATTATCAAGATTAAAACAAGTCGTATTTTCAGCACTTGTAGTACTCAAACAAACGTTCTCAAGATCTCGCAGTAGTGTCGTTGTAAAATTCACATTTGGTTACTTTTTGGTTGTTTTACGCCGCACTCAGCAATATTCCAGCTATATGACGGCGGTCTGTAAATAATCGAGTCTGGAACAGACAATCCAGTGATTGACATCATGAACATCCACACATTTGGGATACGGTGACATGCATCAACCAAGTCAGCGAGTCTGACCACCCGACCCCGTTAGTCGCCTCTTACGACAAGCATGGGTTGATGAAGACCTATTCTACCACGGATTTTCACGGCTCCACATTTGGTTTGAGGTGTAAAGTCCAAAACACTTGTTTATCTTCCTCACTAGTCGTGAACCGCTAGATCCCCAAACCACCTCAAGTTTATTTTCCCTGCGAAATGGTTACAGTATAGGCTATTGAAACCATATCAGTCCGTTATCTTCCGTCATGGTTTCGCCAGACCCATCAAATCCATGGTTACTGAAGATGAACAAGGCTTGAATATCCAGTCTTATCCCATCAGTGAAAGCTGAGCAGACTATGGTAAGTCTGTGTTAACGGAGGAGGCTCAGCGCACAAGTCACACAAAATGGCGGGGTAATCTTAAGTGCCTCCTGTATTGAAGTGACACATTTTTATTTGAAATTTAAAACATCCACGTATTACGTTAAGAATGTGCTAGGGTGTATCTATCAAGGCGTCGTTTCCGTTTGGGTGAATGAGTGAGTTGGGTGAACGCCGCAGAATATGTCAGGTTCGTTTCTTTGGAGACAAGCATCTTTCATTGCTTTTCCTCGTTCGATTCAAATATTTTCGCCATGTTTCGAACGCTGAGGATTTCCCTGGCATTAGCATATTCGGGTTCTTTCTCGGCATTCTGTGGGCAATCATTAGGAGTGTAGCTGTTGTGAGAAAAAGCCATGTTATTGTAGGGCGCGAAGCCCGGGCTATTGAGGGCGGTCACATAGTTGCTGTTGGTTGAACAACGGACCATCCAGCTGTCCTGTGAGGAGGTGGGGTTCTGTGTGGGGGTGGGGCTCTGTGAGGAGGTGGGGTTCTGTGTGGGGGTGGTGTCCTGTTGGGCTCTAACACCAGGAAGTGGCCCTGGGGGAATTGGTGATGTTTGCGACTTGGATCCGGGGCAACTTCTCGCCATGGTGACGGCCATCTTTACATCCCCTGATGAGTAGGGTGGGGCGGTTTGGTTCATATCTGGACATGTGTTTGACCGGGCCCTGAAATGTACGAGAAGAGGCAGGAACGTACAGATTTGCTGTCTCTGTTGAAATTGTTTAACCAATATCTATTTGTAGTGTTATTATGACAGTTGTCATGCTTGTCAATTTTCAACTGCAATAAACTCTTCTATTAAAAATACAATGTAGTTGTGACTTTTTCCTTTGTGTTTTATGTGTGTTTTTTTCTTGTGACTTTGTTTCCGATCATGTTTCAACGTCCCGTGACGTCCAAACACACAGGCCCAATTTCGTTACCTACAATTATATTCGACCCCCTGTCTCGTAATGTCATATTCGAAACCTTTTCCATCTTGAACCATCGATGTAAAATTACGCAGCCAGGTCGCTTGTTTTCGCTGTGCCCGATTGGGTTGAGTGAGTGAGTGAGTATGGTTTTACGCCGCTTTTAGCAATATTAATTCCAGCAATATCACGGCGGGGGACACCAGAAATGGGCTCCACACATTGTACCCATGTCGGGAATCGAACCTGGGTCTTCGGCGTGACGAGCGAACGCTTAACCACTAGGCTACCCGACCGCCCCGATTGGGTTAAGACGGAAACCAGTTAAAAAAATGCATTGGTAATATTTTCCGCAATGACACGAGAGATTATGAATGGGCCATGTGCTCATTTTGATAATTTGCTTCCATCCTGGAGTTAGTAATTACCACAAATAAATATATACGAAACCTCACCGGGTATTGTAGGGTTATATCTGATGACGAACAGGTACGCCAAAATGAACTAAACTAAACGGGTTCTCCTATCATGAACAAAGCCCGTCTTGCATGATCTTTTTAATCTAAACTGCCGGACAAAAGAAAGTATAGACTTGAAAACTGTATTTGACCAGAGAATTATAAGATTAAGAAAACGTTACATGGCTGAAAACAGTCGCCAAAATGCTGCAAACGTAAGGCCCCAAACTATGACACCCGTACCAACAACATCATGATCACCATCGAATAACAATTTCTTGTTTGTTTCATTTTTAGCTTCAATTAAACATGGGTTTGCACTTTACTTTGCTCAGCAATTTAGTTCTGGTCCGCGGAAGGATTACGTCACATTGTTAGGAAACAATGCCGTTTAGAGTTTAGTCGAGCTACAAATATCAGTTTTGTTATCGCAGCACCAATGTGCACTTACTTGACAGTGGGTTGTATGTGTTCTGCTTCCGGGTTGGGATGACAGGTCGAGGCAGTGTCGAGGTCCCCGTCCGGTTCAAATTGTGTGAAGCGCGCCTGATCAGACAACTTTTTCTGGACATGATGCATCGTCAGCAGCGCGTGTTTCTTCCTCCTGAAACATGGTAGGATGTGAGATTACCTGCGAGATGGCTTTAAGAAGTACTTAGCATTACTCCACGCTTCCATTACCGTATCGGTACATTGTTAGCTGTGTCACTACTTGGGACAACAGGTTGACCCGTAAGAGTGGTCTCTCAGAATGGGCTGTAGTGTTTACAGGGAGCCATCTAATATAACGAAGAACAAGCCCAAAATAAAACTTCTTTGCAGTGAGCTGGTGGGTTTTTGTTGCCTAGTTAGAAACGTCACGGCAATCGATGACTGTCACAGCTAGACATGCCTGTTACGGCGGTCAGTAGTTAGCAACGTCACAGCTACACATGCCTGTTACGGCGGTCAGTAGTCAGCAACGTCACAGCTACACATGCATGTTACGGCGGTCAGTAGTTAGCAACGTCACAGCTACACATGCCTGTTACTGCGGTCAGTAGTCAGCAACGTCACAGCTACACATGCCTGTTACTGCGGTCAGTAGTTAGCAACGTCACAGCTACACATATGCCTGTTACGGCGGTCAGTAGTCAGCAACGTCACAGCTACACATGCCTGTTACGGCGGTCAGTAGTCAGCAACGTCACAGCTACACATGCCTGTTACGGCGGTCAGTATTCAGCAACGTCACAGCTACACATGCCTGTTACGGCGGTCAGTAGTCAGCAACGTCACAGCTACACATGCCTGTTACGGCGGTAAGTAGTCAGCAACGTCACAGCTACACATGCCTGTTACGGCGGTCAGTAGTTAGCAACGTCACAGCTACACATGCCTGTTACGGCGGTCAGTAGTCAGCAACGTCACAGCTACACATGCCTGTTACGGCGGTCGGTAGTCAGCAACGTCACAGCTACACATGCCTGTTACGGCGGTCAGTAGTCAGCAACGTCACAGCTACACATGCCTGTTACGGCGGTCAGTAGTCAGCAACGTCACAGTTACACATGCCTGTTACGGCGGACAGTAGTCAGCAACGTCACAGCTACACATGCCTGTTACGGCGGTCAGTAGTGGGGAACGTCACAGCTACACATGCCTGTTACTGCGTCAGTAGTTAGTACCGTCACAGCCGCACATTCCTGTTACGGCGGTCAGTAGTTAGCAATGTTACAGATGCCCATTCCTGTTACGGCGGTCAGTAGTTAGCAACGTCACAGCTACACATTCCTGTTACGGCGGTCAGTAGTTAGCAACGTTACAGCTACACATGCCTGTTACGGCGGTCAGTAGTTAGCAACGTCACAGCTACACATGCCTGTTACTGCGTCAGTAGTTAGTACCGTCACAGCTGCACATTCCTGTTACTGCGGTCAGTAGTTAGCAACGTCACAGCTGCACATTCCTGTTACGGTGGTCAGTAGTTAGCAACGTCACAGCTACACATGCCTGTTACGGCGGTCAAAAGTCAGCAACGTCACAGCTACACATGCCTGTTACTGCGGTCAGTAGTCAGCAACGTCACAGCTACACATGCCTGTTACGGCGGTCAGTAGTTAGCAACGTCACAGCTGCACATTCCTGTTACGGCGGTCAGTAGTTAGCAACGTCACAGCTGCACGTTCCTGTTACGGTGGTCAGTAGTTAGCAACGTCACAGCTACACATGCCTGTTACGGCGGTCAGTAGACAGCAACGTCACAGCTACACATGCCAGTTACGGCGCCCTGAAGCCAGCAGTATCGCAGCCATTTTGCTGTGGCACTGTCACCTTTAGTTAGGAACAACAGAAACAAAACACATATCAATCATGATGCAGGTATTAAAGCTACCAATACATTATAATGGTACCAACTCACTTGTTTTTCCCACACGCACGGATGATAAGTAGAATTGGTACGATGAGCAAAATCAGTGCACAACATCCGACCGAGCCCCCTGAAACAACAACATTGCTCAGACACCTAAAACATTGATATTGCTGATATCTGAAACAAACAATATTGCCGAGCCACCTGAAACAACGATATTGCTGATGTCTGAAACAAACAACATTGTTCAAACGCCTGTAAGCACAATGTTGTCGAGCCACCTATAACAACAATGTTGCCGAGACACCTAATCATGAAACAACAAAATTTCTCAGAACCTGAAACAACAACGTTGCTGACCCACCTGAAACAACAATATTGCTCAGACACCTGAAATAACAATGTTGCCGACCCACCTGGAACAACAATATTGTTCAAACGCTTATAAGAACAATGTTGTCGAGCCACCTATAACAACAATGTTGCCGTGCCACCTAAAACAACAATGTTACCGAGCCTTCTGAAACAACATTATTGCCGAGCAACTGAAACAAAAAATTTGCAGAGACACCTATAACACCAATATTGCCGAGGCACCTGAAACAACAATATTGTTCAGATACCCGAAACAACGTGCACAATATTGCCGAGCCACCTGAAGCAACAATATTACCGAGCCACCTGAAACAACAATATCATCGAGCCACCTGAAACAAACAATATTACCGAGCCACCTGAAACAACAATATTGTCGAGCCACCTGAAACAATATTATCGAGCCACCTGAAACAACAATATTATCGAGCCACCTGAAACAACAATATTATCGAGCCACCTGAAACAACAATATTATCGAGCCACCTGAAACAACAATATTACCGAGCCACCTGAAACAACAATATTATCGAGCCACCTGAAACAACAATATTATCGAGCCACCTGAAACAACAATATTACCGAGCCACCTGAAACAACAATATTATCGAGCCACCTGAAACAACAATATTATCGAGCCACCTGAAACAACAATATTGTCGAGCCACCTGAAACAACAATATTGTCGAGCCACCTGAAACAAAAAATATTGTCGAGCCTCCTGAAACAACAACATTGTCGAGCCTCCTGAAAAAAAAGATCACCTTCATGCAATTCACGGTTACGGAAAGGGGCGTGTGATGAACGGGATATGGTGTCTCATGTCCTGGCAGGTTGCGGAAAGGGGCGACTGATGACGAAGGGCACGGAATTTGATAAAAGTGCTACGTACTTACCTATCACATACGCTTTGAACATCATGTGGCCTACTGAAAATATAAATAAAATGGTGCTAAAGGAAAAGAACAATAAGGCCTTGAAATATTGAAGGCATTTTTCACTAATGGAATACATGGAAGTCTGACGTCAAGGCATAAGAAAATGAAGCCATTATAAGAAAAGCCCTTTGTCTATGTGTCCTGATGTGGTATATAATTAGAGATGAGTCACACATTGCACAATTACACAATATAACTTAATCATGATTGAACATGATTGGATCTAATTATATTTTTAGGCTTGTTTCGATCAAAATTCATACCGTACTGTTGATCTATTCTTGAAGTAAAATGTTGATTGCAAATTAAGTAATACCTGTTAGTAAATCATTCAATAATATTTATAAAATTATTTTTTTGTTTGTTAACACCTCACTCTGCAATAATCCAGTCATATGACGGATGCCTGTAAATAATCGAATCTAGATGTGACAGACAATTAAATGATTTCGACAGAGGGGGCAGTGATGTTGTCTAGTGATTATCTGAGCGTTCGCTCGTCACTCCAAACTACCGGGTTATATTCCCCATGAGTACGATGTGTAACACTCTTTCTGGTGTCCCCTGTCTCGATATTGCTGGAAGGTTGCTAAAAGCGGCGTAAAACCATACTCACTAACACCATTACACTACGAACACTGGTGGATATACTTGCACGCTATTAAACAAAGTGTTCTACCACAATGGGGCGGTAATGATTGTCACGGGGCTGTGCTCCAATGATCAGGGGTGTCATAAAATAAGAATAAAGTAATAAAGAAAACGTGGTAATAGGTTCACAGGTTTATTAATAACGGCTAATTGCACCAATAGATGACAATAAAATATCAGATAAACCCAATCTGCGCTGCCCAATCTGATTAATCACATCAGCGCAAATTTACAAGCTTCTTTACTGAGCAACTGTATCGCAGTAATAAAATGAGTAGCTGAAACAACACTTTGACAATGCTATATAAAAGACACGCGGAACCCCCCTTTATCCGGACACGTGTCGTTAGATACCTTTCGGCATACTATGCTAAATATCACCATCATTTATCTCACCTTCTTCGCATTTATCTCCTGAATAGCCAGCGTTGTACCCTAGTGTACAATTACCGGAAGCATCGCATTCACTGTCCTCGCAGTTCCGACACAGGTGAACACAATTCGGTCCAGCAGTTCCCTTGGGACACCCTGAATAGGAAGAAGTAGGACATTCTGTATGACACCTGGTGTTTTACCGATCTTTAAGTGAGCTTGAGTATAAAAGCCGTTTTGAACAGTACATGTTTATAGAAGTACTTATATGCAAACTTATTATTATAGTATTATTCTATTACGGTTTTTTTCTCTCTCCCTCTTTCTCTTGAGGTTTCTCTCTCTCTGTCCCTCCCCTCGCCCCTCTTTATCTCTCTTTGCCTCAGACTCTCTATCTCTCCTTCTTTCACTCGAGGTATCTCTCTCTCTCTCCGTGTGTCCCTCTCCCCTCCCTACTCTCTCTATCTCTTTCTTTCTCTGCGTCTCTCTCTCCGCCCCTCTCTCTCTTCCCCTCTCCCTCTCTCTATCGCTTTCTGTCTATCTACCTCTCTCTCTGTCTCAATCTCTCTCTCTCTCTATCTCCGGGGCGCACTCGGGTCTTCACCATGATTACCGGTTCATAGCACGAGTATGGGACTTAAATAAGCTCGTCGAAACGCCCACTTTTTGAAAGACTAATCCAACAGCAATGTACTTACTTGTTCTACAGTTCTGACCAGTAAAACCATCAAGACAACCACCTGGACACTTTCCAGTAACTCGATCGCAGGGTACCGATGTACTACAGTTGCCGCATTGCTGTTTGCATCCTGGCCCGTAGTAGTGAGGTTTACAATTGTCTTGTAAAAGAAAAGAAGGACATCAAATGTAAACACAAAGTCACAACAAATTCATTATTTTTTCGGAATAGCTCTGTGGTCTATATAAACTGAAGAGCAAAAGAAAGCATGAAGAGTTTGTTTTTTTATGCAATTGAAAATTTAAAGAATTGTTTTTAAAGTACATCATGTCTATTTTACCATCACTCATTCCTGCAACAGTTTGTGGCTGGGTAAGTTTGTGCAAGAAGAAATTGATTCAATAAAGACTTGGGTAAGAAATGAATTAGGAGTGAGTGAGTGAGTTAATGCTTTACGTCACATCGGCAATATTTCAGCCACATCGTGACGAGTAAATGAATTAGGAACCACATAACCCCAGCCATGTTTGAAATGTAATTGTGTGCCGGAAAATGCAAATTTACTGATTGTCAAAGATAAGATGTCTAAGATACCAGCGGTTGCCTGTTATGCGAATTGTTTTTCAAAAATGTAAAACTTTTAGATAAACTTTTATTTTTTTAAATAAAATCATGTAAAATCGTTGAGTGCTGACTACGCGCCAGTACAGTTAATATTTTAAAATATAATATCGCTAACTTAAGATATGTTCTTTGCTCCTCAGTTTACCTTAAAGAGATGTCATTTGGGGTTCCCCACTTCCACTCAAGCCTACCATATAATCCGAGAAATATAGACTTTTTTCAAATGTTACCCGCCATGCGGAAAAGATGTCAATTATGATGTATTAATGTTGATATTCAACCAAAGCTGTGATAGATTCCTATTTGTATGGTTCCGGTGTACGAGTTGTCTGTTCTCTTGGTATACCGTGTCCTTGACACCCATATCAAGGTCATCTTTGCCAAGAAGATTTCTTTAATTGGGTAGAGATTTATAGCATAATCTAGGCATGGGGTATTTAATTTAGACCTCACTGTTATGAACAGTGGTCGCCCGAATTTTAATCGTGAGCTTAAGGGATTCAATTGTGGACTAAAGATATTTAATTATAGTCTGAATATATTAGGCCGTGCTCTCCAGACATTAAATCAGGGCATCAGGGCATAACTTCGTTGTCACAAAAATTAACTCGTGGCCTTTACACATAGTCTAACGGTTTCACGATTCTGAAGCCGTAGGTTTGAAAAACATTTTATCGATCAATAAAAACCGATTCAAGCCACACAGGATCGCTTCAATTGTTTATGGAACAAACACATGGCCGTTTGCCTGAATGGACTAAACAAACGTAATGTAAAGGAAGGAATTTCCACACGTCATATACGATATCTACCTTTGCACAGAGGAGGAATTTTCCCGGATATACATGAATCGCAGGCGCCATTAGACTTGTTACATGGCGGGTTTTCGCAGTCTCCGCATGTTTCTGAACAGGTTTCATTCCACCATCCATCCTGGCAGTCTGGGGTAAACAAGACATTGTGTGAACTATTGTATGTAACTGCTGATCAGAGTACAGTAATAATTCATGATCATATATCGCACCTGCGCCCACCCGTGTTGGCCACCTTGAAGTTAGATTACATCCACCCGTGTATACCACCTACCTCGACATAGCGGCGACCTCAAGTTGGACTTACATTGACCTGTGTATACCACCTACCTTCACACAGTGGCGACCTGAAGTTGGACCTACATTGACCTGTGTATACCACCTACCTTGACACAGTGGCGACCTGAAGTTACATTACATGCACCCTCGTATACCACCTACCTTGTCACAGTGGCGACCTGAAGTTAGATTACATGCACCCGTGTATACCACCTACCTCGACACAGCGGCGACCTGAAGTTAGATTACATGCACCTGTGTATACCACCTACCTTGACACAGCGGCGACCTGAAGTTAGATTACATGCACCCGTGTATACCACCTACCTTGTCACAGTGGCGACCTGAAGTTACATTACATGCACCCGTGTATACCACCTACCTTGACACAGTGGCGACCTGAAGTTAGATTACATGCACCTGTGTATACCACCTACCTTCACACAGTGGCGACCTGAAGTTAGATTACATGCACCCGTGTATACCACCTACCTTCACACAGTGGCGACCTGAAGTTACATTACATGCACCCGTGTATACCACCTACCTTCACACAGTGGCGACCTGAAGTTAGATTACATGCACCCGTGTATACCACCTACCTTGACACAGTGGCGACCTGAAGTTACATTACATGCACCCGTGTATACCACCTACCTTGACACAGTGGCGACCTGAAGTTACATTACATGCACCCGTGTATACCACCTACCTTCACACAGTGGCGACCTGAAGTTAGATTACATGCACCCGTGTATACCACCTACCTTGACACAGTGGCGACCTGAAGTAAGATTACATGCACCCGTGTATACCACCTACCTTCACACAGTGGCGACCTGAAGTTACATTACATGCACCCGTGTATACCACCTACCTTGACACAGTGGCGACCTGAAGTTAGATTACATGCACCGTGTATACCACCTACCTTGACACAGTGGCAAGCTGAAGTTAGCTTTGCATCCCGAAAGACACTCGCCAGTTTTGTTGTCGCACGCACCACTAAAACAGTGGCCACAGGGCTTACAATCAGTTCCGTAACAATCTGAAATAGAGAGGTCATATGCAGAAAGAAGGAATACACAGATCCAACTCTCTGCTTCAGAGAGACAGAGAGACACACAGAGAGACGTGTGTATATATATATATATATATATATATATATATACATATATATATATATACACACACACAAAAATGAGGTAAATGTTCACTCGGTGTACATGTAATATATAATAAAGTAATTAAGTCAACGTTAGTCCATCATGATATAAAGAAGACGATGGACTAACGTGGACTTTATTATATATATATATATATATAATGCCCGATATACAAAACGAATATATACATAGTGCATGAAAGTAGTTTATGCTCAAAGTGCAAGTAAAGTGACAAGAAAGATTTTATTGCGAATATCAATTTACATTGACACATTTAGTCAATTTCCGAGGGAGAAAAAAAAAATTGTTGGAAGTATTCAAATGTCCAAGTGAAAGTGCTGAAATCACATACACCAAAATCGGCTTCCAAAACAAATCTATTTGGGGGCGTGGCCGAAAGCTACCGGCGCAGCAGTGACAACTGTTTTCATTGGCTGCTGTTATCCACGTTTATCTATCTCATGATTATTAGCCGTCGTATAAATACAGTTTCTGCTATTTGTGTTTATCTTAAAAAATACTTACATTGCAGAATGTGTGAAATTACCTTTGATCTTGATAGTGTGAATAATTAAAATAAATTTAATCAAAACTCGGTTACCGACATCGCGTTTGGGTAATAAAACACCACAATGAATGCCTGTTAGGGCTAAACAACTAAACGCGTCTTCAGTTCAGTGTTACTATTAAGGGGACATAAGTGTTTAAACATAAACATGTACTTCATGTGATTTGGAGGCAAATTTAAATAGCGATAAATTGTGGATGGTATAGATGTAAGGAAATAGATATAATATGGTAATTAAAGTTGTACGATTCTTAAAATCAACTTATTAAACTTGTTAAACGAACACAAGCATATTAATTATTTCTTTACAAATTTGCATTGCGTTAAAGACAGGTTATCAGTGTGATTTCAGATAAAGTAAACTACGGTTATAACGAACTCAAAGGGACCACTAATTTTAATTCGTTATAACCGTAGTTCGTTATAAGCAAATGTACGGAATATACACAGCAAATAGGCGGGACCAAAAAAATAGTTCGTTATATTCGTCAGTTCGTTATATGCGTGTTCGTCATAAACGTAGTTCACTCTAGTATTAAAATCCCTGCTCAAGTTGAAATAATTCAGAAATGAATCAGTGAGATGTGGGTGTGACAATGGTCAGTGTTCACTTAGTCAGAATGCATAAATCTGCAAGTGTCGAAATGTGTCGTTTCTGCTTTCAACAAAGACAAGCGACGAGACAGGAAACAAGGAGCTTGCAGTTATCATCTCGGAAGATTTAGGTCATGTCGGGATCGTCAGCCACTCCACACTATTGTACACTTTGAAAACAGCGTCCTTGTGTCAGCATCAGCTCTGCGTGAGCGAAATGGTTCAACGCCGCTTTGAATGGCATTTCCGTTATTATATCACTACCCGTGAAGATCCGGGTTGGAGGTGGTCTTCATGCTTGTCTTAAGAGGCGACTAACGGGATCCGGTCGTCAGGCTCGCTGATTTGGTTTATGTCATCGTGTCCCAAGTGCTCAGATCGGCGCTCATGATAGCAATCACTGGATTATCTGGTCCAGACACCATTATTTAAATACCGTCGTCATATAGCTGGAATATTGCTGAGTTCAGCGTTAAAAGCAACTAATTATCCAAACAGTTATATCACGGCTCAGCTTGCTGTGGGGGGACATGTCCAAATCTCAGACGTTTACGAGTTTTGTGAAATTCATCAGCAACGGTATGGTACTAACATCTTCCAGAGGTAAGAGAGTTAACTGACTTTAAAAGTCCAGTTTCCACCCTTGCCGAACTAGGCTCGAATAACTGGGCTTGATCGTAGCGCCACCAGTGGCTATTACCAGTTATGTCCCTTCTAAGCCTCTCCTATGGACCAATCAGATTCCACCTCTCGTATCACTTGCGTTTGCTTCACACAAAATGGTTGCGCCCGGTCAGGACGATTTGATCGATAATCAAGATCTATATTGTGATAAAAAGGGTTTTACATCACAAAATGAATCAAATCATATGAGCACCTTGATTAAAAACATGAACATCTGCTGACAACGAGTTGGCGATGCACATGTTTTGCAAATCCTGCAATCGACCGAAATCTGCACGACAGTTTACGAACCGGATTTCGATTTCGGTGCGCGATTTTGACTCCTTAGTCCAGTCAAAATGTAACTCCATAATACCAGCCGACATGTAGTTCGGTAAGGGTGGAAACTGGACTTTTATATTCAGTTAACTCTCTTGCCTCTGGAAGAAGTGGTACTAACAAACCTAGAAACATCAGAGCGAACCGGGATTTGAACCCACGATCACGGCAACAGTTTAGAAATAAACTGTTCATGTACATATTTGTGGGTGAGTAAGGTTTTACGCCACTTTTAGCAATATCAGGACGGGGTACACTAGAAACGATCTTCATTCATTGTACCCATGTGGGGAATCGAACCCGGGTCTTCAGCGTGAAGAGCGAACGCGTTAACCACTAGGCCACCCACAGGTCCAAGTACATATTTGTAACCTTGAGGTTTAAACTTCGACAAGAACTGTATGTATTGTTTCTCTGATCATGACCGAAACCCGAAACATCGGTTTTTTTTTATTATATGCTAATTCGATTCCGATAACGCAGTGTTCCAGTTATTGTACATTTTGATTATTTTGAAGTAATCCGCTCTTATGACCAACCATGACGTTGAATTTGAAAATAAGAGAGCACGGTTTAAAATCAGTTCAGTTTTGAATTTGAGCTGACGTCGTGGAAGGCTTGAAAATGAGTGAGTGAGTGAGTGAGTGAGTGATTTGGGTTAAACGCCGCTTTTAACAATCATAGGTTTCTGGCGTGCCCAAGGGCCGCAACTCTGCACATTGAATCACGGCGCCTCAGACGACTGGGCCACCCGTGCCCCCGAGGGAGTTAGGGAGGGCGGGAGGGAGGGAGCGAGCGAGTATATATAATATTGAACAGACGAGACTTGAATACTTCCTGGTTCATATGAAATGTTTCTTGCAACTATTACGAACAATATTGGCACATGGCGACGCATAACATTAAAAATAACATACACAGTATATCACTAACCTTTCCCCCAACACCTGGCCACGTAGGCAACCAACAGCAGAGACGAGGCGACTCGAAAGGAGAGCATGATTTGTATTCCAGTGTAATCGTGCGGGCTAACACCAGAGCCTGGTCATGAGACTGCCAAGACGGAAACGGAACCCATTGAGTCAGCAAGTGGTTAACGGTTATTCAAGTGAAATTCTAGGAAGAGATGAGTATCTGAGCACAACCGCATTCGCACAAGTTCAGTAGGGTTAAAAGGGTGTTCCTTGTCAACAACGATTTTGTTTAGAATTTAATTTAATCGTAGTGATGATTCATTTTGACTGCGGGGGTTTCTGAGAGAGATCCATCACGTCATCATGGAATAATAGTGCATAATTATTATGGGTCACTATTTATTTTATTTTTTTATTTTTGCATATGTATTGAAATACTTCAAATCTAATGGGATGCTATCCTTTGTACATTTATCTTTTAACAGTTGTATAAGTATGTACTTGCTTTAATTCCCCTACGATGTCAAATTCACTTTCACTTGCATAGCTTAGGTGAAGGGAGTATAAGGGAGGTCACTCTGATCATAAGCGTTGTTGCGGAAAGACAATTTTACCATAAATTCAGAAAATAGTCGATTCTGATTGGACAGACAAAGGTTTTAACTCTGACAGACCAATAATCTGATTGACATGAATACATGACACTTTTTGTGGATGACAACTTCTTTTTTTCTTTATAACGCCGTCTCAGAGCAACTTCTTGCCTCTTTGTCATTTTCACCTGAAGGGGCAAGATCATTCGTCACCACTCGCCCCTTTCCGTAACCTGCAAGGCTTGTCCCGAAATAACACGAGTTGGTCACGCATTGGGCAAGATGTAGATGTGAAACGGTGTGACCAAGAATAAAAGAAATTGTTATCCACAAACAACATTGTCCATTAACAACTTCAATTCATACAACGCGATGTTGTTATCCATGTACTCTGTCATGTCGAAAGGACGACATATTATTTTCACGATGTTTTAAATGATCACACATTGCCATAAGTAAGTACTCGGGGTAGTGTCTTCCTGCAGATCACGAAAGGTGCGCGTTGTAACACATTGCTTCCATTCGTCACCACTCGCATCTTTCCGTAACCAACTAGAAGGCTCGTCCCATATGCATCCGTCACCACTCGCATCCATCCATAACCAACATGAAGGCTCGTTCCATATTCGTCGCCACATGCATTTTTCCGTAACCTACTGGGCTCCCCCCCCCCCCCCCCCCCCCCCCCCCCCACACACACACACACACACCTCGAAGGACGCCATAGGCAGAAACGCTGCAAGCCAGTCAGAATGCGCATCAGGATATGGGTACTTCGTCCAATATAATCCCTAGTTTTTAAATTTATTTTGACAATATGCATATATTTTGTTTAAAAACTGTAAAATGTAGATTATCAATCCCACAAAGCAGTGTATAAGGATAACAGAATTGTGTGACTAATTGAAGTTATTTGTAGGGCCATGTTGGATGACAGATTCAAATGTACACATCCGTTTGTTTACATTCAGGAAACGGCTCACTTCACATACAACATCCTTTCAATTGAGTTATAACTTGACTTGGCTTTTCCTAACTAGATTCAGTTTAATACCCATTGTTTGATTATATACCAAAAGTTGAAAACGTATTAAAGGAATGAACTAATCAACAATTTTAAAACAAATTATTCACGTTCCTATTAAACGCTCATTGTATAATTTTGTGTTGCGGACATTTTAATGCATTTGTTTGTAACATAACAAGATATAGCTAATGCTTCGGTAAGAACAATACAAAAACATAACTTTCAGTTAATAAAATATATGTTTTACTGAACTATTAGAATTTGTATTGAAGAAAGATGTGACAGAATTGCTTCTACTAGCACAGACATATACAGACACAATCCTCTTTTTCATATTATTAGTACTTTAACAACGACAGCTAGCACATTAACGGGTGTAACTGTGTGGTAGGGTTAAACATTTCAAAATTAGGACAGTGGTAAGTAAAATATATTTAAAACGGTTTTAACTGCTGTTATATATTTGGGTGATTATCATACGCACGCACACCCACACACACACGCACGCACGCACGCACCCACACGCATACACACATACACGCTAGCACACCAGTCCTGTGTTTTTTCACGATCAAAACGATTGTCAGTATATCAAAATGTGATACCATCATTGAAATAAAGTGAGTGAGTGAGTTTGGTGTGACGCCGCTTTTAACAGTATTCCATTTATATCACGGCGTGTCAGCTTGATGTGGGAGTAAAGTCCGAAGTGATGCAGGTCTCAGACGTTTACCACTTCGGTGAAATCCACGAGCAGGGGTATGGTGCTGACAAACCTAGAAACATAATCGGGGCGAACCGGGATTCGAACCCACAATCATAGGTTTCTGGCGTGCCCAAGGGCCGCAACTCTGCACATCGAATCGCGGCGCCTTAGACGACTTGGCCACCCGTGGCCCCTTGAAATAAAGAGGGATTGAAAAATAATATTGTCTGATTAGCATCTTTAGTCGGAAGTTACGACTAGCTTGGGGAACTGGTACTGATGTTGGGGTTACGACCTCTTGAAGACAAATTTAGTAACATCACGACGCGTAATAAGCCTGATAGGAATGAGTGACGCAGGTTGTAGACCTTTACCATTTTGTTAATAAACCCACAGCAAGATAGGGTCCTGTCAAACAGGATCTGTTCGAATAAGTATCCGAACCTCTGACCAGCGGATCCTGCCCTGCACCCTAAAGGGACGTAACTCTCCACAATTTGAATAGCGGCAGACTACATCGCCTTCGTGCCCCATTACTGACTCAAGTCAATGCTTCATTTCCTTTTAAACAGTGAAACAATTCCCTAGGCATGTCCTCATCACCGCCGATGACAAATTAGCCAACAACGTGGTCAGTGACTCAATAGTGCATAAAAAGTGTGACACGCTAGTGGGGGTGCATAACAAGGAAGGACATTAATATTAGTGATAGGAAAAGGCGTTACTCTTTAAAGAAACGCTCCACTTCGATGCTAGGCATCACATGTTTCACTTTCAGTTTTGAGGATCTTTTACCAGTTTGGATTAACCGGAAATTCACTATTTTCAAAAGAGTTTGTGAACTTTTAAACCATAACTTCATAGGCTGTGTTGTTTTACAGTACGTCACCGTAAAGTCTAGCGTAGGCGAGCGAATGAGTGGGTACTTCAGGGTAAAACGCCGCTGTTGGAGTGAGTGTGGGTGAGTATGGTTTTACGCCGCTTTTAGCAATATTCCAGCAATATCACGGCGGAGGACACCAGAAATGGGCTTCACACATTGTACCCATGTCGGGAATCGAACCCGGGTCTTCGGCGTGACGAGAGAACGTTTTAACCACTAGGCTACCTGACCGACCCGCCGCTGTAGGAAGAGGGAGGACAAAGTCATACAGATTGATCTGTACAATGTTCGGGACACCCATGAAACTGTGGATCTAGGCTGATTAATGTTGGGTTCGCATTTCGAATTTATTTTTCGGTATGTGACATTGATGAATTCGTCTGTATTTGAATGATAGATGGAGAGAACTTAATTATAAGAGAGAATGAGACAACCAGGCAATGTCCTAGTTATGTAGAGGGAATGAGAAGTCCAGGCCATGTCCTAGTGATGTAAAAGAGAAATGAGACGTCTAGGCGATGTCCTAGTTATGTAGAGGGAATGAGAAGTCCAGGCCATGTCCTAGTGGTGTAGAGGGAATGAGAAGTCCAGGCCATGTCCTAGTGATGTAGAGAGAAATGAGACGTACAGGCCAGGTCCTAGTTATGTAGAGGGAATGAGACGTCAAGGCCATGTCATTGTTATGTAGAGGGATTGAGACGTCTAGGCCATGTCCTAGTGGTGAAGAGGGAATGAGACGTTCAGGCCATGTCATTGTTATGTAGAGGGAATAAGACGTCTAGGCCATGTCCTAGTGATGTAGAGAGAAATGAGACGTACAGGCCAGGTCCTAGTTATGTAGAGGGAATGAGACGTCAAGGCCATGTCATTGTTATGTAGAGGGATTGAGACGTCTAGGCCAAGTCCTAGTGGTGAAGAGGGAATGAGACGTCTAGGCCATGTCCTAGTTATGTAGAGAGAATGAGACGTCCAGTCCATGTCCTAGTGATGTAGAGGGAATGAGAAGTCCAGGCCATGTCCTAGTGATGTAGAGGGAATGAGACGTCCAGTCCATGTCCTAGTGATGTAGAGGGAATGAGACGTCCAGGCCATGTCCTAGTGATGTAGAGGGAATGAGACGTACAGGCCAGGTCCTAGTGGGGAAGAGGGAATGAGACGTACAGGCCATGTCATTGTTATGTAGAGGGATTGAGACGTCTAGGCCATGTCCTAGTGGTGAAGAGGGAATGAGACGTCTAGACCATGTCCTAGTTATGTAGAGAGAATGAGACGTCCAGTCCATGTCCTAGTGATGTAGAGGGAATGAGACGTCCAGTCCATGTCCTAGTGATGTAGAGGGAATGAGACGTCCAGGCCATGTCCTAATGGTGTGGCGGGAAGGAGCCGTCCAGGCCATGTCCATGTTATGAAGAGGGAATGAGACGTCTAGGCCATGTCCTAGTTATGTAGAGGGAATGAGACGTCCAGGCCATGTCCTAGTTATGTAGAGGGAATGAGACGTCTAGGCCTTGTCCGAGTGATGTAGAGAGAAATGAGACGTCCAGGCCATGTCCTAGTGGTGTACAGGGAATGAGACGGCAGTTTATGTCACCGTGAAATAGAGGGAATAATATATCCAGGCCATGGTGTACTGAGAATGAAACAGCGAGATATGTAGATAGTGATGTGGAAGTGACGTCGAGTGAGTGAGTGAGTGAGTTGTGTTTAACGCCGCATTTAACAGTGTTCCAGTTCTATCACGGCGTGTCGGCTTAACGTGGGAGGAAAGAGGTCTCAGTCGTTTACCACTTCGGTGAAACCCACGAGCACGGGTATGGTGCTGACAAACCTAGAAACATAATCGGGGCGAGCCGGGATTCGAACCGACAATCATAAGTTTCTGGCGTACCCAAGGGACGAAAATCTGCACAGCGTATCGCGGCGCCTTAGACGACTGGGCCACCCGTGCCCCCTAGTCACGTCGTGGGAACGAGCCGCCCGGGCTATGCCCTAGTGATGTTGAGGGCGGGGATGGGACGACTAGTCAAGATAAGGTGAAGGACAGGGAACAGAATAAGGTGAAGGACGGGGAACATGATAAGGTGAAGGACAAGGAACAGGATAAGGTGATGGACAGAGTGCAAGACAAGTTGAAGGACAGGGTACAAGACAAGGTGAAGGACAGCGAACAAGATAAGGTGAAGGACAGGGAACAAGATAAGGTGAAGGACAGGGAACAAGATAAGGTGAAGGACAGGGAACAGGACAAGGTGAAGGACAGCGAACAAGATAAGGTGAAGGACAGGGAACAGGATAAGGTGAAGAACGGGGAACAAGACAAGGTGAAGGACATGGAAGAACTTAGGTGAATGACAGGGAACAGGATAAGTCGAAGGACGGGGAACACGATAAGGTGAAGGACAGGGAACAGGATAAGGTGAAGGACGGGGTACTGGGCAAGGTGTAGGACAGGGAAGAAGACAAGGTGAAGGACAAGGAACAGAACAGCAAGGTGAAGGACGGGGAACAGGGCAAGGTGAAGGACAGGGAACAAGTTAGGTGAAGGAGAGGGAATAGGATAAGGTGAAGGACAGGGAACAGGATAAGGTGGAGGACGGGGAACAGGATAAGGTGAAGGACAGGGAACAAGATAAGGTGAAAGACAGGGAACAAGATAAGGTGAAGGACGGAGAACAAGATAAGGTGAAAGGCAAGGAACAGGATAAGGTGAAGGACAGGGAACAAGATAAGGTGAAGGACGGGGAACAAGATAAGGTAAAGGACAGGGAACAAGATAAGGTGAAAGACAGGGAACAAGATAAGGTGAAGGACGGGGAACAAGATAAGGTGAAGGACGGGGAACAAGATAAGGTGAAAGACAGGGAACAGAATAAGGTGAAGGACGGGGAACAAGATAACGTGAAAGACAGGGAACAGGATAAGGTGAAGGACGGGGAACAAGATAAGGTGAAAGACAGGGAACACGATAAGGTGAAGGACAGGGAACAAGGCAAGGTGTGGGACAGGGAAGAAGACAAGGTGGAGGACAGGGAACAGAACAGCAAGGTGAAGAACGGGGAACAACATAAGGTGAAGGACAGGGAACAAGTTAGGTGAAGGTGAGGTGAGGTGAGGTGAAATTGGGTTTAACGTCGTGTCCAAGATTATTGCACTTATATAGCGACGTGCATGCAAGTTTGTGTGTGTGTCTGTGTGTGTGGCTGCTTGTACTAGTCTGGACTGATGCCGATTTATAGTGCTAGCTCACTGAGATACCATGCCGCAGTTTAACATGAATACCCCACTCAGACACAGTATACTGACTCCGAGCCGACCAGTCCTTGTTTTAGCCCCTTAATGCCGAGCGCCAGACAGGGTAACAACAAGTACCATCTTTTAACGTCTTTTGGTATGACGCGGCCGGGGATCGAACCCCGGACCTTCCGCTCTCCGGGCGGACGCTCTACCACTAGACCACGGAGGCGGTCAGTTAGGTGAAGGACGGGGAGCAATACAATGAGAAGGACGGGGAACAGGACAAGGTGAAGGACAGGGTACAGGACAAGGTGAAGGGCAGGGAACAAGATAAGGTGAAGGACGGGGAACAGGATCACGTGAAGGACAGAGAACAAGATAAGGTGAAGGACAGGGAACAAGATAATTGAGGTGAAGGACAGGGAACATGAAAACAATGTGGAGGGCGGGAAAAGGGACACTGCCTAACAAGGAAGAGGTCGTTGCCAGAGATGTTTGGAAATACGTCTTCAGATATAAAATGAACATTAATTCATTGTAAGATGCAAAATCATATTTTTGGTGGCCACCTTAGTGTACACAAACCGCGAACATTCGTTCAAACTCAACCAAAACATGCACGTCCTGTGCACGTGCACCATGAGGTCACGTGATGTGAGTCAGTGTTTGTCCGGTCACGATGATGGCTGGAGGTGGCGGGAAGTCGGGGGTCGCTTGTATGGTAAGCTGGAATCAGACACACGAACCAGAAAATAGGATGCCTGCACAATTCCTACTTCCGCAGATAAGCACATAACTTCTGAGCTTCTCAACGATGGACACTGAAGTTAAAATATTTGTTAACTTATGCCGTATTTCCTTGTATCTAAGTTCCTGGACAGATTCAGGGAACAGGCTAACCCACGATTGTTTGTGAGGTTTTTTACATTCATCTTTGGGAGCTGCTTGTGTTGTATTTGGTATTTGTTTTTAAACACAATACTTTTCGTTAAAAGTTTTGTTCGTTTGTTGTTTAACGCCGCCAATATTCCAGCTATATGACGGCAGTCTGTGAATAATCGAGTCTGTGCCAGACGTTCCAGTGATTGACATGAACATCGATCCAAGCAATTGGTATACGATGACATGCCTCAACCAAGTCAACGAGCCTGACCGCCCGATCCCGTTAATCGCCTCTTACAAGCATAGTCGCCTCTTAAGGCAAGCATGGGTTGCTGAAGAGCTATCTATTCTTTACCCGGATCTTCACGGTTCGTTCGTTAAAAGTACTTCTGGATAAATCCAAATCGGCGTACATTCGTCTTTAGTACAGCGTTATGAAGGCCTAAATCGTATCTATGCATTGGCGAATAGGGACTGTCGGGTAGTAAACACGAGTCAGTTCATATCTTTCACAGATTTAGGCAGTTATAAACTGCTATTTTGTCTTAATCTTAATGTTCCAACTTCCATGAAATGTGGATAGGTGGTATTTGGATTTGTTTAGGTAGTCGAACAATCGTGACATTATTGATGATTATTTTTCTATTTTGATGCGTTTTGTTAGATTCCTAAGCACCGGCATTGAAGAGAATCGGCCAGAACACAGCACAGGTCTGATTGTGATTTTGGCTTTACGAAATTATGTCCACTGGAGATTCCGGGTTAGAATTGGTCTTCAGCAACCCATGCTTGTCGTAAGAGGTAATTTTCGATTAACGGGATTTGGTGGTCTGGCTCGCTGATTTGGTGGTCAGGCTCGCTGATTTGGTTGATGCATGTCATCGTTTCCCAATTGCATAGATCGATGGTCGTGTCAATCACTGGATTGTCTGGTCCAGACTTGATTTTTCACATACCGTCATTTTGTTGGAATATTGCTGAGTGCGGCGTTAAACGACAAATCTGTTACAAGAGTGATATTTCTTTCAGATTGTCCTGATCTCCATTTTGCTTGCATTGGCTTCTGGTCAGACGGTGAGTGCACACAGTTTTACGCCACGTTTAGAATTATACTAGAAATGGGTTTCACAAATAGTGGGAATCGAACCCCGGCCAAGGCAATCCTCAATGGACGCTTAAACCACTGGACATCCTTACAACCTACAGATATTAATTGCAACCCATCGTGCTTGATTGTGTGGTGTGGGTGTGGGTGTGGGTGTGGGTGTGGGTGTAGGTGGTGGTGGGAGAAACTTGAAACAACGTTGCCAATTCAACTTTCAATTAACACTGACATTTAAACCATGTTGACATTTCATAAATCATTACACCAATTTGATTTTCAAGCTTTTCTAAAATATTTCGTACTAAAACATTTCACTTTCAGTCCCAGGTGAATTCTGAAGTAAAATGATCAAAATTACGTATTGAAATTACAAAAAATCTGCGGCTAAAAATACTAAATTCTGCGGGGAGAAAAGCGTATTGAAACATGTGACGTCTTAGAACTCAGATCGAAAATAGAACTCACGAATCTCCAAACAGCAGGGGATCGCCTCTGTGGTCTAGTGGTAGAGCGTCCGCCCGGAGAGCGGAAGGTCCGGGGTTCGATCCCCAGCCGCGTCTTACCAAAAAACGTTAAAAGATGGTACCTATTGTTACCCTGTCTGGCGCTCGGCATTAAGGGGCTAAAACAAGGACTGGTCGGCTCGGAGTCAGTATACTGTGTCTGAGTGGGGTATTCATGTTAAACTGCGGGATGGTATCTAGGTGAGCTAGCACTATCAATCGGCATCAGTCCGGACTAGTGCACGCACGCACGCGAATACGTGCATGCACGTCGCTATATAAGTGCAATAATCTTGGACGCGACGTTAAACCCAATTTCACCTTACCTCACCAAACAGCAGCGAAGCTCCGTACATTGATCACGAGGAAACCCCATCAGCCCATTGTGATTGCCCATGCACACATTATGCTAAGTGTTTCAAAGACTCGTTCCCAATACCTTATGATTGTTTCTACTAACGCTTTGATTACGTTGATCATAATACCGCAAGCATACAATGAATTTGATTTTTCATCTTCTAAAGGATTGCTGTTTTGTCCCTTGAGGACCACAAAGACAGTGGGTATCGCTATATCTGTTTCTGAATATTAACCTTAACGTATACTACTAGTACTAGTATTTAAGAATAATAAACACCAAATGCTTAGAAATGTAATGATGTATTCTGACTTCAACTTCTTTCCAGAGTGTCAAACCGCAAGCGAAACAACCACACAGGGTTGTTAAAGGTAAGGTCTGCCAGTCAGTTTCGGAAGCCATGTGATTGGGCTATTGTAGGCTGTTACGTTGTGAGCTGTTGCGTTGTGAGCTGTTGCATTGGGTATTGGTGCACTGAGCGATTGTGAGCGGGTGGATTGTGATTAGGGTATTGTGTGTAGGGTTGTGGCTTTCGGCAGTTATCCATCATGATATGGCACGCGGGACACCAAGAATGGGTTTCACACATAGCTTCTTCCCGAGACAAGGGAGTTAACTGGCTAGAAAAGTGGCATGGGGTCATTTGGGGGGTATGGAAGGGACATAAATCGCCAGCCTAGTTCGGCAAGGGTGGAAACTGGACTTTATACAGTCCGTTAACTCCTTTGCCTCGGAAAGATGCACACATCGCTGAAACGTTGGTCCTCTTTAGCTACAGGAATCTTATGTAAATGACAGCCCTATTCATCTGTCATGTCGTGAAACAACAGTACAGTGGTAGGTCTCAGTAATAGTCTGTCGTCGCAGCCGCTAACTGAACACCCAATCCCTACCTCCTACTTCTTTAATAAGTCATGTTTTCGCACTTCAGAGTCATGTTCTTTAATAGGGCACATTTTTGTTGTGCTGACCTATCCGCGGGATATATTGGAATAAAGTTAACATTTGTGGATTGCAGTATTTTTCTATTTGGGGGACGTAACGCTTTTGGGTCAGTCGGCGTGATGTTTACTACTTTACCTGGGAGTTTATTGACAAAAACATATTGTCCCCGAAAATTCTTGAAAAAATAATTATGCTTCAGTCTCTTGATAAAAACATTGCCGGCCAAAGAAATTACTTCGTTTGTAGATGGTTTTCTTTTAAAAAATAGGCTCATAGTTTTAAATAAAATAAAAAAATATCTGGGTGTATGCTGTAGCTGAAACAATCCCTCCCAAGAGTATCAAATGGTCAGTCACTTGGGCACCAGTTGGTCGAATCCGTACTACTTGGTCGCCTGACGCGGGATTTTGGCGTGACGAGCAAACTGGAATACCCTGTTGCCCCGAGCGATATTACTGGTAGTCTGCGGCATGTTGACTGGAACCATGGTCATTTGTTTGAATCGGCACAAATTAATCCTGAAAAGGTGGGATAGCCAGGTGGTCCAAGCGTTCGCTCGTCACGCCGAAAGCCAAGGTTTGATTCCCCACATGGGATCTGTGTAAAGCCCACTACTTCTGTCCCCTGTAATGTTGATATTGCTGAAGTCGACGTTAAAACCAACTCGCTCGCTGACTACGGTGGTGGAATAGGAAATAAAAAGCGTTCCTGAAGGAATGTTTGTTCGCTGTTGAACCCCGCACTCAGCAATATTCCAGCTATATGACGGCGGTCCGTAAATAATCGAGTCTGGACCAGACAATCCAGTGATTGATGTAAGCATTGATCCACGCATTTGGGATACGATGGGATACCAAGTCAGCGAGCCTGACCAATGGACCCCGTTAGTCGTCTCTTACCACAAGCATAGTCGTCTTCTACGGCAAGCATGGGTTGCTGAAGACCTTTTCTACCCCGGATCTTCTGAAGTAATGATGGCGCGTTATCCTCCACGTTTCCAGCGATCCTTCCTAGGGATACAACCATCGTGCAGCCATTTTTGGCTACCACATCCACAGTTTATGAGACCCGTGAAGGTCCCAGTAGAAAATAGGTCTTCAACCCATGCTTGCATTTCTTTGCAGTAAGAGGTGACTATGCTTGTCGTAAGAGGTGATTAACTGGATCGGGTGGTCAGGCTCGCTGACTTGAAAATGCACAATATATCATAACCAGTGGAAATTGCTTTCGATTTTACGTTGTAAACGTTTTAATGCTATTTTGAAATAATACAAAATGCTTATATTAAGCTCCACAACTCGAGAAAATTGTTTGTAAAAACATTTTTTAAGCTGCTCCATAAGTGTATGTGGAAGAATTTAAGCCATCTTCATCTTTAGTTAAGTCGGAATGCTGCGTAGGGAGAACTGGCCTTTCTACCATCAGCGTCCTGTCCGACTTCCCAGTCGTTGTCGAGGTCTTCTGCAAGAACGGCGTTGTCGCCAGGCCCATCACGACAGACGGAGTGACGTACATCCAGAAAGCAGCCTTCGAGGACAATTCATCGACTCCGTGTGTTTTTGAGGTAAATCTTTTCACGTCTATTTATACTATTATATTACGTTGTTTTGGGTAGAAATATTGACACGTTGGTCGTGTTGTGTCCTTCACTTCGCTCATGTCTACCTAAGAAAGTTGTAGTTTGTTTGCCGCACTCGGCACTATACTTAAACAAGTAGAAACGGTTGCCGATTTCTTGCAGATTGCCATGGGATTTCACTAAACGCCGCATTCATTGGTCCAAATAGGACTTCGTAAAGTTCGACTAAAGAGTCGACTAACCTCGACTAACCTCGACATGGAATTATCATTTCGACTTGGATCCCAGATGGAACAGGTCTTCAGCAACCCATGCTTGCTGTACAAGGTGACTGGTTGTCGTGAGCGGCGACAGACTGGATCAGGTGGTCAGGCTCGCTGACATGGTTGGTACATGTCATCGTATCCCAACTGCGTAGATCGATGCTCACGATGTCAATCACTGGATTGTCTGGTCCAGATTCGATTATTTACAGATCGCTATCATATAGCTGGAATATTGGAGTGCGGCGTAAAACAGATGATCTGACTTGCCATTGTGCCCCGTTTTAAAGCTGGAATCATGCTGCGTGTGACGTTGACGCACCCCCCCCCAAAAAAAACAAACAAACAAAACAACAACAAAACAAAACAAAAACAACAAAAAAACAACCCCCAAAGAAAACCCCAAACCCAAATGCTGTTGCCTGAATCGTAAAACAACATTCACTCATTATTACAGGAAATGAAGGAGTCGCTGGTTTACAGGGTCAAGGTCAGGGTCTCCTGGAAGACGAGGGTGAAGGGTATCTATTTAAAAGGCACAGGGAAGTATTACACTGTCACGTGTATCTATGGCGAAAAAGCGCACAACACCAGTCAGGCTATTGAAATTGACAGCAGGTACGTCATCAGCTGTTGGTTGTGTATCGAAGCCGAGGGTCCGATAATGTGATATTCTTGGGATGGGGTGAGGAGTTCCGCTGGGATTTATCGAAAATATTAATCGTCCCAGAGAATGCTTGAAAAAATATTTTGGGTCCGTTTTCAAAGAACAAGAATCCGGTTTTTAACTGAGCTGAAAAAGATATCTAGTCCCTATTCATCATCTTAGAACCCAGCAGAATGTCAAAGGTCCCCAATCTTACAGATGACTCTCATGTCCAGTTTGAATACATACTTTTCAGAAAAGAGTGTTTACTGGTGATGTTTTGATATGAGGGAAATTGACTGTCGTTTACATATACTACTAAAACAATTCAAGGATCATGGTATGCCAGATTAACTATAGTAATATGAAAGAATTGGGTGACCTTAACTTTTTTTGAGTGGCATAATTCACTGAAACTTTGTTCTTGTTTACAACCAGTACAAATCGGCCTCATGTTTTAACACGAACCAAACAATTTAACCACCGTGTTGGATTACTTTCAGGAGCATATGACCCATGAAGATCCCGGGTAGAATAGGTCTTCACCAACCCATGCTTTCCGTAAAAGGCGATTCTGCTTGTCGTAAGAGGCGACTAACGGGATCGGGTGGTCAGGCTCGCTGACTTTGTTGATGCATGTCATCGATACCATATTGCGTGGATCGATGCTCATGATATTAATCACTGGATTGTCTGGTCCAGACTCGATTATTTACAGACCGCCGTCATATAGCTGTAATATTGCTGAGTACGGCGTTGAACAACAAACCAACCAATAAGAATAGTATTGTAGCCAATGCATAACATTATTTATGACTCAAGATATATTTTGACTCCATGAGATTTCGATTGAAAACGAAGATCGCTTTACTGCGATGTGCATGTTGGCTGACCCCAACTGATGGGTTGTGTTCATGCTATCACCCCCACCACGGCCCAGGGACAATCATGCTGTCACCCTCACCACTGCCCAGGGTCAATCATGCTATCACCCCCACCACGGCCCAGGGTCAATCATGCTATCACCCCCACCACGGCCCAGGGTCAATCATGCTATCACCCCCACCACGGCCCAGGGTCAATCATGCTATCACCCCCACCACGGCCCAGGGTCAATCATGCTATCACCCCCACCACGGCCCAGGGTCAATCATGCTATCAACCACTATTTGTCCTATTCAACACTATTTAAATAAGGGGCGGTGGTGTAGCCTAGTGGTTAAAGTGTTCGCTCGTCAGACCAAAGCTCCGGGTTCCATTCCCCACATGGGTACAATGTGTGAAGCCCATTTCCGTGATATTGCTTGAATATTGCTAAAAGCGGCATAAAACAATACTCATAAACTATTTAAATAAGTGGAAGTGGGCGAACTGAAGCATAACCCATTCAAATTGTCTACGTTAAAGGCTGCTGTACAAGTCTACCGCTCTGCTCTTCCTGTTTTATCCTAGCTACCAAATCTACGATGAGATTATCCAGAACAAGGGGTCGGCGATGACATCTGATGTCAGCATGACTCTAGTGGGCCCGCTTGGTCGACCTGTGAGGAACACGATCCTCTTAGGGAGTCGCCTACGAATACAGGCCACGGTCAAGGGTATGTATTAACACTGCACAGTGATGTTTTAATGCGCCATGCATGACTGTATTCTTTCATACAGTTTGCATGCTATGTTCCTTCATTCCATGTGAATATATGTATACGTAAGCTTTGTGGGATAGTTATATTTAATGACTATTCTAATCTGGTAATGAAACGGATGTAGATAGATAAATTTATGTTTATTTATATCTATATCGCGTATAACTCGCACATAAGTCACGGTAGGGCTCACGTTATTTTGCAGTACAATGTGCTATCCCGTTTCTGGAATTCCCTGTCGTGACATTGCTTGAATATTGCTAAAAGCGGCGTATAACCATACTCGTGTGTTGTTTTGTTTGTTTATTGTTTGTTTGTTTGTTGCACTCGCAATATTCCAGTTATATGACGGTGGTCTGGAAGTCATCGAGTCTGGACCAGACAATCCAGTGATTAACTTCATGACCATCGATCTACGCAATTTGGATACGATGACATGCATCAACCAAGTCAGCGAGTCTGACCAGCCGATCCCGATAGTCGCCTTTAACGGCAAGCATAGTCGCCTTTAACGGCAAGCATAGTCGCCTTCAACGGCAAGCATAGTCGCCTTCAACGGCAAGCATAGTCGCCTTCAACGGCAAGCATAGTCGCCTTTAACGGCAAGCATAGTCGCCTTTAACGGCAAGCATAGTCGCCTTTAACGGCAAGCATGGGCTACTGTAGGCCTATTTTAACCTGGATCTTCACGGTTATCATGTTGCCTGAATGTTCATGTCTGAGAACTCGCGGGGTTTCCCTCTCGTGGGAACCTGGCGGTGTCTTCATTCGTTGATTATAAATAGCGACTACTTCAGAAACAAACTACTGACATTTCAGAAATGAGATAGTGTTTACTGGTGCTTTGATATCATGCGGAAGGTAGGCTTGTCATATCGCATAAAAGTTCAGTTTCCGCCCTTGCTGAGCTCTGCTTGATTTGCGTGGCTCGATCGTAGCGCCACGAGTTATGTCCCTTCTATCGACCAATCAAACAAAATGGCGGCGCCAAGTCAAGACTATCAGGCCTACTATAGTCAAGATCTCTTTTGTAAGAAAACGTGTCACCTGGCGGAGTGCATCAAATCACTTGAGCACCTGGATTAAAAACATGACAAAATTTGAAACATATGTCGACACCTAGATGGCGGCACACATGCTTTGCAAATCCTGCAGTCGACGGAAATCTGCACGGTGAAATCAATGTTCGTTACCCGATTTGGATTGGGCTATGCATGGACTCGTTAGTCCAGCCAAACTAACTGCGGAATTCCAGCCTTGTTCGGCAAGGGTGGAAACTGGACTTTTATAGTCAGTTAACGCCCTTGTCTGGAAAAGATGGTCATATCGTTTACATAGTTCAGTGAAATTAAACTGAGGACCAAATGACACCATACCTCAGTTGATTTTCATCATGTTTGATTTTTTAATTGAAATGAGTTAGCGATGTTCTACCCAAAAACAGAACTGTACTGCTTTTTTCGCATGGTACACAGTAACTGCTGATGGGTGCTTTGGGACATCCTTTCTTTGAAAAATTAAGAAATTTGCATTTTTGGCACAAATTTACATTTCAAACATGGTAGGCTATGTATTTGTAAATTCATTTCTTACCCCAGTTTTCATTTAACCAATATATTTTACCTAAACTTACCCAGCCACAGATTACTTTTTACAAGCTGCTTCGGGATAAGTGTTGAAACAGATATGCGCAAATTTAACAGTTCTTTTAATTTTCAATTATACAAAAACAAACTTGGTATACTTTCCTTTGCCCTTCAGATTATGATTATCAAGAGTGGGGTATTTCATTTCGCGAGAACCACCAGAATTGGTCCTGGGGTTAGTGTAAGTTCCCCCAAATGCAAGCCCTGGAGATATAGAAGATGGTGCAAAATAAACTGTACATATATGTAGGTAAAAAAGGTATACAAAACCTACCTGTGTGGTATCTTACATAATGTGATTTCAGGCGACGTGCACGTGCGGCCTGTGAGCTGCTGGGCAACTAATGGGAATAACACTTTCCGCGTTCTTCTGGGAGGGTAAGTCACTTCCTTTCGTAAGTCCTGCATGACTGCCTCCCCGTGTGGAGTACCGGCAGAGTACCTCCCCACTATAACATGCTTGTCTTAGTTGTCATAGGCTAGGTGAGACCGTATTATTGCGCGAAAAGATTGAAGACAGCTACCTGACAACAGGTAATTTAATTTCTTAATTGTGTAATATCCGGGCTAACCTATTTAGACGGATATGAGAAGCCTCCCCTCAATACACAGCCTCTGACTAACACTAGCCTCTGACTACCACTAGCCTCTGACTACCACTAGCCTCTGACTACCACTAGCCTCTGGCTACCACTAGCCTCTTGCTACCACTAGCCTCTCACTAACACTAGCCTTAAAACCTTCGTTACGGGCTATCCTGAGTGTCGGTAACAGCTGTTGTAGATGATAGGTAGGATACACCTCTCATTCTCATCAGGCAGGCACTGGAGCCTCGTCCACACAAATAGGCATTGGTGCACGCCAACAGCGTAGAATACGTTTACACGTATAAGTCTCCGTTCTGAAATCGCGAAAATGTATTGACGTTCGTCTCGCTGACTCCCGTATTGCTGTGTATGTCGTACAAAAAATATTGTCAAACGATTATTTCAGATGCGGGGATGGTGATATTTTCAAAAAGAATGTCGGCTTCCACATCAACGGGACAATGATAAGGAGCCCCCTGTTCCGTGCATTTCGACTTCCTGGCTCGAAAGTCATGAGCTTCAAGTGCATTTTCGCTGCGTGCGACAACCCAGTAACCTGTGATGGGGTAGGTATTGTTGTTGCTTTAAGTGTTTAAGAGATCGCCTTCTGCCTTAGCAATTTCGGCTGACCTGTCCCTCTTTGGGACTCAAGTGTGTGAGTAGGGTAAACCTCTATCGTGAGTTTTCGTATTGATAGAATTTGTTTTTTTATTGATAATATTTCTTGTTTCGTATTGATATAATTCATTTTGGATTTGAAGAAATTGAAAAAAAATTCAACTCAGCTGCACCTGTTTTCCTTGGTCCGACATTATATTCGTATAGAATACTATTGACCTTTTGGACTGAGTTCGAGTTTCTGCCGTTAATCGCTTGTAGTGCACATAACGAGTATGATAGGATGCCTTTCTTTTCTTCTGGTTTGTTTGTTTGTTGTTTAACGCCGCACTCAGCAATATTCCAGATATATGACGGCGGTCTGTAAATAATGGAGTCTGGTCCAGATTGATTAATATCATGAGCATCGATCCACGCAATTGGGATACGATGACATGCATCAACCAAGTCAGCGATCCTGACCACCCGATCCCGTTAGTCGCCTCTTACAAGGACAGTCGCCTTTTACTGCAAGCATGGATGGCTGAAGACCTATTCTACCCCAGATCTTCACGGGTCTTTTCTTCTGGTAGTTCGGGTATGAGTTTCGGCATGATGGGGGTCTTGAATTACACTAATATACACTGTACACACTGTACTGTAGATTGTCTGGTCCAGACTCGATTATTTACAGACCGCCGTCATATAGCTGGAATTTTACCGAGTGCGGCGTAAACCAACAAACCAACTAATCAATCATCCGAATAAAACACCAGTGCAATGGTAACCTTTAGAGAAGCTGTATTACTGTTGTGCTTCTAAACATTATCCGCATGATAAATAAGAACATCGGTTATTTTTGTCTTTGAGTATTTATACAAGCAACCCCATCCCTACTGTCATGTCCGCATGAGTTCTGTAATCGTTTTGTATCGAAATATTTCGAAATGTTTCGCGATTCGTCGAATCATCCTCCATTGATGTTTAATTTGAGTTTTCAGTTTTCGGAATTAGCCGTTCCTGCCGATAAGGCCGAAGATGGACATGAAACGGGGCACAACTAAGACAACCAGATTGTCTGCCTGTTAAAATCTTGCTGTAATGTAACCTTTTTTGAGACCCCATGATCATGAGATTATTTTCACTTGTCGTTTAACGTATGTTCCCTATTTCAATTGTCAGATTGTGTATTTCAGTCTTGACTAACTGCAGTGTATTCTTGAATTGCAGAGTTCCTGTTACAAGGAAGAGACGTTATCTGACGAAAGTTTCGTAGGTTCGTACTACAGCTGAAGTCTTAATGTCATGATGGTGGTACTACAGCTGCTGGCCTAATGTCATGGTGCTACAACTGCTGGCACTACAACTGCTGGCACTACAACTGCTGGCACTACAACTGCTGGCATAATGTCATGGTGCTGCTACAGCTGCCGTCTTAACGTCATGATGGTGCTACTACAGCTGCCGTCTTAACGTCAAGATGGTGCTACTACAGCTGCCGTCTTAACGTCAAGATGGTGCTACTACAGCTGTCGTCTTAACGTCATGATGGTGCTACTACAGCTGCCGTCTTAACGTCATGATGGTGCTACTACAGCTGCCGTCTTAACGTCATGATGGTGCTACTACAGCTGCCGTCTTAACGTCATGATGGTGCTACTACAGCTGCCGTCTTAACTTCATGATGGTGCTACTACAGCTGCCGTCTTAACGTCACGATGGTGCTACTACAGCTGCCGTCTTAACGTCACGATGGTGCTACTACAGCTGCCGTCTTAACGTCACGATGGTGCTACTACAGCTGCCGTCTTAACGTCATGATGGTGCTACTGCAGCTGCCGTCTTAACGTCATGATGGTGCTACTACAGCTGCTGGCCTAATGCCATGATGGTGCTACTACAGCTGCTGGCCTTATGTCATGATGGTGCTACTACAGCTGCCGTCTTAACGTCATGATGGTGCTACTACAGCTGCCGTCTTAACGTCATGATGGTGCTACTACAGCTGCCGTCTTAACGTCACGATGGTGCTACTACAGCTGCCGTCTTAACGTCATGATGGTGCTACTACAGCTGCTGGCCTAACGTCATGATGGTGCTACTACAGCTGCTGGCCTAAAATAATGATGGTGCTACTACAGCTGCCGTCTTAACGTCATGGTGGTGCTACTACAGCTGCCGTCTTAACGTCATGATGGTGCTACTACAGCTGCCGTCTTAACGTCATGATGGTGCTACTACAGCTGCCGTCTTAACGTCATGATGGTGCTACTACAGCTGCCGTCTTAACGTCATGATGGTGCTACTACAGCTGCTGGCCTAATGTCATGATGGTGGTACTCCAATGATCAGTGGTGTCATTACACAAGAATAAAGTCATAATGAAAACGCGGTAATAGTTTCACAGGTTTATTACCAACAACTACTTGTATCAAAGGACCATATAAAAGATCAAAGTCCAATCTATACTGACAATGATCGCTAATAAATAAATCCGAACAAATACACAAGCTGCTCAGCTAAACAACTGTATTAAGTTATACATTGAGAGTAGTTAACGCAACACTGACAAGATAGACAAGATGCATTGACAGCCAATTAAGTCGGCTGCGACCAATTCACACCTGAGTTAACTCAAATGAGTGAATTAACCTCGGCTGGGTTAAATAGCGGGATGTACAAAGGGCCTATCCCTAAAATAAATACTTGGACAATAAAATGCACGAGAACGTCTGAATATCAAACTAGTCCAAAAGACTAAAGATTCAATCAAATTGACCGAAAAAGGAAATTCTAAAATTCCCCAAAAGCTAGACAATCACGGGAAGGTCGGTTGTCCACAGATTACTAGCAAAACGGTGTATGAAAACCCAAGCTAATAAGTTTAGCTCAATACAACCAGTACTAGATCAAAAGTGCCCCGTTATCACTTACAAACGAAACCTGAGTTTCGCGTGATAACCCAGTTCCGTGCCGACCCGTAAACATCTAACAAAGCCGGGGATGATGATTTAACAAGCGTTTCCGGTGAACCTGACAAAGTTTATATACCAGCGCGCGGACCTCGGAGAAAACAATCTCTCCTACTCAGCCAGGGAATAAGATAATCTGGAGTGCTCAGCCAAAGTGTGCATGGGGAAAAGCACAAACAGCAAACTGACCACTATATCCATACGGAAGATGGAAGTATCAATATAAAACGATGAACATTAGCCTTCCAACGGTATTGTTAAAGATTTAGAACAATGTGTTCAATTATTGGGGAGGCAAAAATTATCATTAATACATGGTGAAATATCTGAGTACAAAGAATTCCCTTAATGTCCGCAAATCAGTCTAAAAAAAATGTTCAGCACCTAAGGCAGCAAACAGATAACATACATCAAGTCAATACTTGGTAGGAGTATGCCATTAAATCACAAGAGGATGAAGTAGTCTGATCACTAATTCTCTAACAAAGAATGTAATGACACAGTGCAACCTCGACCGCCGGACTTTTCCAAACGGTAATGGAATTGAAGCGGGGGAGCGGTGCGGTCACTGGACCGTAACCAGACTACACTAGTTTAGGGACAGTACTGCTAAAATACTGGTCATTTGGTTATCACAGCCCCTACACTGGTTACTGGGTTATCACAGCCACGGGCGATACTGCCCCGATGCGTGTGTGATGCTGCCCCGATGCGTGTGTGATGCTGCCCCGATGCGTGTGTGATGCTGCCCCGATGCGTGTGTGATGCTGCCCCGATGCGTGTGTGAGGCTGCCCCGATGCGTGTGTGTGAGGCTGCCCCGATGCGTGTGTGTGATGCTGCCCCGATGCGTGTGTGATACTGCCCCGATGCGTGTGTGATGCTGCGGCAGTGTTGGTAACATGCCAAGACAGATGTTTTGCTCGTGATAGTTAAGAAAATGACATTCGTTTATTTCAGATAATTACACGACGCCAACATTACCAATACTCATAACCGAGTTCACTACCAGGCCAAACCGGACGTAGATCAACAGCCGATTGGCCAACAGAGTGGACCGCAGACTGCCACGAACTGTCTGAATATGTGTGACACCACACCTTGCGGAGTTGGGGACAGGAACGACCTGTGATGGGGACGTGGGCGGCTGAACATAGGATGCGCACCTTGCAGGGGATGCAGGGACGGCATCACGTTGGCGGCAAGCCCGTCCCGATTTTGATATTGTACACGCATGGCGTTAGTAAATGTTATTATTGTACACCATCGTTTTCTTCTTCTTTTCCTGTTTGCACTTTGAAAATGAATAGTACAGCAATATTTGCATTTCAACATTTCCCACTATAGACAAGGAACACCAAAGACTCGGGTTAGAATTTGTCCCCAGCAAACTATTCTGGTCGTAAGAGGCAACCAACTGATCGGGTGGTCAGGCTCTGTGACTTGGCTGAAAGTCTTACATCATTTGTGATGCTGTTGCAGCTGCTCTGTGCGGTCTGGCAATATGATGTTACAAATAATGTTGACATCTTTCGTGATGGGAATATCACGCTGAAGAAATGCATCACAGCAGCACTGGGCCGTTAAGTTGCCCTGCTCTTGCACTGGGTTTGTTGTACCGATGGGAGACTTCCTCCCACATCATTACTCTGCCAACGCCAAACCCGTCGACCTAAAACATCAGTCGGTTCATCGCTTGAATATTGATCAATATGGCGTTAAACAGACATCAAACCGGCACATTTTCAGTATCATTGCAAGTTAGTCTAACCTTAAGTAGATGTTTCCAACACCTATTTTTTCACAACATCGAAGTTACACTATGCGTATTAAACTTTGGATAGGTTATCATGTTTTGTCAAATATGTCTCTGTATTGGAACACTACTTTATAATTAAATGCACCTAATAAAATATGTTTGCTGACTTGCCACAGCGAAATAATTTGCTCAACCCACTCAAGATGTCCGTTGATGTACCACGACATCATGTAATGCCTAAAACACAATGTTTCACTGTAATTGTGCAACAGTGTGCAATCGGCAAAATAGAATAGCACCTGCACACACAGTTAAATCATCCTGGCGGAAAGTGGGCCTAGTGGTTACTGGTTAAAGCATTCGTTCTCCACACCTAAGGCCCGGGTGTGATTCCCCACATGGGTACAATGTGGATCACATTTCTGGTGTCCCCGCCGTGATATTGCTGGAATATTGCTAAAAGTGGCGTAAAAACATACTCACTCACTCACTCACTTTTAGCAATATTCCAGCAACATCACGGCGGGGGACACCAGTGACGGGCTTCACGCATTTTACCCATGTCGGGAATCGAATCCGGGTCTTCGGCGTGACGAGCGTAAAACCATAGTCACTTCAAAGGTTCTGGACAAAATGAAAGCAAATGTCACCTGAAGTTGACCTTTCGGCAAGAAGTAGGCATCCTCATTGGTACCAACTGCGCCCCCACCCCACCCCTTTGCTATTCTGTTTCTTTATGCATACGACTCAAAATGAAAAGGGAATTTGGCCAAGAAGTTTAACTTAAGCATCAGCGTCGATGATCTGATATCGTTCAATAAAAATCAAATAGCCAATTCCCTTCTAGTGATATACCGGGGCGGTCGGGTAGCCTAGTGGTTAAAGCGTTCGCTCGTCACGCCGAAGACCCGAGTTCAATACCAATCGAGTTCAATGTGTTAAGCCCATTTCTGGTGTCCCCCCGCCGTGACATTGCTGGAATGTTGCTAAAAACGGCGTAAAACCATACTCACTCACTCACTCTAGTGATATAACCCCCCCCCCCCCCCCCCCCCCACCTGAGCTAGAAACAAGAGACCACCAAAACCGCCTCATCCGTTTCATATTAAGATCTATACATACAGATACAAAGTGATACAAAATATCCACAAGACTGTATGACAAGATGGATGACAACGGCTTTCCAATAGTCAACTTTCCCTTCATGTCGAGCACTATTCCAGCAGCTACAGCCTTTGGTGTCTACATTTCACAAGTTTTGAGGTACAATTGCGCATGCTCTTTTCTACGAATTCAAGAGCGTCATATGACTCTCGCTCTAAAGTTGTTTGATCTGGGTTACAACATTCAAAGCCTTAGTGTAGCTTTAAAATGTTTTATGTGAAGGACACTTCCAAATGAGACGCATGAGAAAAGAATATGATGTCTGGTGCAATTCCCTATTTTTACTTAGCTACATCTTCCTGTTGTTTTTTTTCAGGTGGACAGTTGACTTGCCTTTGCATGTATTTGTGACTGGTGCCATCGGTAGGGCAGGATACGCAAACGCCTGGTGTCATCACTATTTCATAGTTATTCATTACCACATGATCATGATATAGTAGGAGTGAGTGAGTGAGTGAGTGAGTTGGGTTTAACGCCGCTTTTAACAGTATTCCAGTCATATCACGGCGTGTCAGCTTAATGTGGGAGGAAAGCCCGAAGTGATGCAGGTCTTAGACGTTTACCACTTCGGTGAAACCCACGAGCACGGGTATGGTGCTGACAAACCTAGAAACATAATCGGGGCGAACCGGGATTCGAACCCACAATCATAGGTTTCTGGCGTGCCTAAGGGACGCAACTCTGCACAGCGAATCGCGGCGCCTTAGACGACTGGGCCACCCGTGCCCCCTGATATAGTAGGAATCGTACATAGCGATCGTAGTGCTAAGATGATAGTAATTCTTATACTTTAACATAGGCTCACGACAGTCTTTGCACTACGCTCGCTTAGTAAGTGAGTTGGGTTTAACGCCGCTTTTAACAGTATTCCAGTTATATCACGGTGTGTCAGCTTAATGTGGGAGGAAAGCCCGAAGTGATGCAGGTCTCAGAAGTTTACCACTTCGGTGAAACCCACGAGCACGGGTACGGTGCTGACAAACCTAGAAACATAATCGGGGCGAACCGGGATTCGAACCCACAATCATAGGTTTTCTGGCGTGCCCAAGGAACGCAACTCTGCACAGCGAATCGCGGCGCCTGAGACGACTGGGCCACCCGTGCACCTCACGCTCTCCTGGACAAGCCTGTTCAGTTATTGCACATTTATTGCACATGAAACTCCCAAAAAATTCAGCCAGACCACAGGACTGGCTAGCTGAAATACTTGCCAGCCCTGACCAAAACCTGCCTGCCCACTATAATCATATGTTTCTCAGGATAAGCTAACGGGGTTTCTTTTTGGTTACATTTTATCATTCATCTTTACATGTGAATTAATGCTTATCATCGGGAAATATTTTGAATATTTTGACATATGAAATATAACCCGACCGTCGGGCAGGGGGATTTGAAAATCTGGCAGCCCGAGTTGAAATCAACCCGTCTCGGACGGTCGGGCAGGCAGGTATTTCGAACACTGAAGTTATACCTGATCAAAGTAAACACTGTTGAGGTCAAATTCAAGATTATTTCATTACAATTAATGTAGTACCTTACGTCTTCTTTTCGCTATTCCCCGAATGTCAGATTTTCGAACAGGATGAGGACGACCAACCAGATATCCAAATATTTGTCGGGACGGCATATCAGATATCCAAATATTTGTCGGGACGGCATACCAGATATCCAAATATTTGTCGGGACGGCATATCAGATATCCAAATATTTGTCGGGACGGCATACCAGATATCCAAATATTTGTCGGGACGGCATATCAGATATCCAAGTATTTGTCGGGACGGCATATCAGATATCCAAATATTTGTCGGGACGGCATACCAGATATCCAAATATTTGTCGGGACGGCATATCAGATATCCAAATATTTGTCGGGACGGCATACCAGATATCCAAATATTTGTCGGGACGGCATACCAGATATCCAAATATATGTCGGGACGGCATACCAGATATCCAAATATTTGTCGGGACGGCATATCAGATATCCAAATATTTGTCGGGACGGCATACCAGATATCCAAATATTTGTCGGGACGGCATACCAGATATCTAAATATTTGTCGGGACGGCATACCAGATATCCAAATATTTGTCGGGACGGCATACCAGATATCCAAATATTTGTCGGGACGGCATACCAGATATCCAAATATTTGTCGGGACGGCATACCAGATATCCAAATATTTGTCGGGACGGCATACCAGATATCCAAATATTTGTCGGGACGGCATATCAGATATCCAAATATTTGTCGGGACGGCATACCAGATATCCAAATATTTGTCGGGACGGCATACCAGATATCCAAATATTTGTCGGGACGGCATACCAGATATCCAAATATTTGTCGGGACGGCATATCAGATATCCGAATACATATTTGGACGACAATCGGACATCCAAAAATAGGATCTGTCAGACATTCGAATTCATGATCAAACGACAAATTGGACATCGAAATACACGTTGAGACGACATATCCGAAATCTGATTACGTAATCAAATGACCAATCAGCCATCCAAATACATAGTGGGACGACAAACTAGACATCCACGAATACCACATTCGCTAGAATCACAAAAAAAGGAAAAAAGCTCCTGAAGATGCGGGTTGCAATGGGTCTTCAGCAACTCATGCTATTCGTAAGAGGAGACTAACGGGATCGGTTGGTCAGGCTCACTGACTTGGTTGATGCATGTCATCGTATCCCAATTATGATGCCAATCACTGGATTGTTTGGTCCAGACTCGATTATTTACAGACCGCCGTCATATAGCTGGAATATTGCTGAGTGCGGCGTTAAACAACAAACGCAAAAACAAACAACAAACAAAAGGCAAAACAATGATGAAATTTACATAAATGGCGCTCTGAAAATCAGTGAGGAAACCCGGTGTCCCGCTCTACCGGCAGAATCCCGCCTCTCACACAATTTGCATTGAAAAGTAAGTGTTTCTTTGTTGTTTAACGCCGCATCCTGCAATACACTTGTCATGTGACGGCGGCCTGTAAACAATCGACTCATGCTCAGGGCCAGATATTCAGTATCATGAGGTGTGATCCACGTCGTTGGGGTAGACGTCACGCTGTCAACCTGATCATAAAGCTTGACCACCTGATCAATTAAAGAAATGCCAGTGACTATGGTTAAACGCCACTTTCAGCAATAAGCCAGCAATACCACGGCGAGGGACCATTTCACACATTATACCCATGTGGGGAATCGAACCCGGGTCTTAAGGTGTGTGAAAACTTCCTGCAAAGGCCATAGTATGGGATAGCATCGCACATCATGTTGACATGTAACGTGTCCGAATGAGGGGGCACTGGTGGCCCAGTCGTCTAAGGCGCCGCGATTCGCTGTGCAGAGTTGCGTCCCTTGGGCACGCCAGAAACCTATGATATTGGGTTCGAATCCCGGTTCGCCCCGATTATGTTTCTAGGTTTGTCAGCACCATATCCGTGCTCGTGAGTTTCACGGAAGTGGTAAACTTCTAAGACCTGCACCACTTCGGGCTTTCCTCCCACATTAAGCTGACACGCCACGATATAACTGGAATACTGTTAAAAGCGGTGTTAAACCCAACTCACTCACTAACTCACTCCTCCGAATGAATGTCTGTATGTTTTCTACAGCTATATGAACTGTTGTTGTTTGTTTTTTGTTTAACGCCACACTCAGCAATATTCCAGCTATATGGCGGCTGTCTATAATAATCGAGTCTGGACCAGACAATCAAGTGATTGACATTATGAGCATCGATCCACGCAAATTGACATGCATCAACCAAGTCAGCGAGCCTGACCACCCGATCCCGCTAGTCGCCTCTTACGACAAGCATGGGTTGCTGAAGATCTATTCCACCCCGGATCTTCACGGGTCCAATATAAACTGTTTTATATAATGTCTTTATTGTTTATATATCAGTGTTCATCCAGCTTAATCGGAGATGTATTTTACCTAGCTGTGGTATGGCTGGCTGTAAAGGGTACAACCGAATACATTAATTGACTCACTCACTCATTGTAAAGTATGTGTTGAATTTACGCCGCTTTTAGTAATATTCCACAATATCACGAGGGACAACAGAAATGATCTTCACACTTTGCAATGTGGGCAATCTTCAGCATGATGAGCGAACGCTTCACCAAGAGCCTACCACACCGACCACTCATTGCTAAAACATAACCGATATTAATCTTGTTTCCTGGCTATTGACTATTCGCCCAAACGCGCCTGAAACCTCTCACGGTAATTCACGTGCATCACGTGTCGGTCGCTGCCCGGACAGAATTGCTGATGTTAGATCGCGGAAGATGATGTCTCAGGTATGAAAACGTCCGCTTTGTTATCTTTACGATTTAATACTGATGATAGCTTTGTTTTCTGTTTCCCTATATAATAATATACTTTGGGTTTTTTCTTTTGAAAATAAGTGATGGACAGATTAACAGATTGACACAAAGTGATGTACGTAACATTGTTAATTGATGGCTGTCATCGGGTCGTGATTCAGGTGAGAATATAGGATCCAGCAATCTATGCTTGTAAGAGTCGACTTAAAGGTTCGGGGGTCAGGCTCGATAACTTGATTGTATGGCATTGTATCCCAATAGCGCAGATCCTTGATCCTTATATCAATCACTAGATTGACTGGTCCACACACGATTATTTACAGACCGCCGTTATGTAGCTGGAATATTACTGGTTAACCCCCCATAAACCCTGCCTTTCATTGATGAAAATAATGCCTGGTTAAAAAGTATTAAAACTTGTTAGGTTGCCATATGGGAGGTAAGTAAATCTCCGTGCACAAAGCTATGTGACAAAGAGAATCTCGCGATGGAATTACATTTGAAATTTGTTTGGTTTTCATACGCCTTTTCTACCCAGATAACATTTGGACATGAATGAATTTTCCGGAACGTTCACTGAATCTCCCTGCTAATTATCATTAACGCTGGGGCAGTTTGGAAGTTATTCATGCAACATTGGAATAACATTGATAGAAAGCCATTGGATTTCATGGGTAGTTCACAAACTCTTAGTACGTGAGTGTATGCAGACGTTCCCAACGGGAATTGTTCGGAGGTATGATTTCCGGACTAACGAGGTTTCTGGACAAACGAGGTTTCCGGTTTAACGGGGTTTCACATTATGTCTGTCTGCAGGTGCCCCTATTGGTGGTCCTGTCGTGCTTCACCCTCGTCAAGGTAAGTGGTCACGTCTCGTCTAAACAGTCTACATGGTCCCTTTATACTGCAATTAATATTTTTCTGAAATCGGAATTCAGCATTAGACGTTCCTTGTACCCCTCACAGCTGACAATAAGGTTCAGTTACGGATGGTCGGGCTCACAGCTGACAATAAGGTTCAGTTACGGGTGGTCAGGCTCACAGCTGACAATAAGGTTCAGTTACGGATGGTCGGGCTCACAGCTGACAATAAGGTTCAGTTACGGATGGTCGGGCTCACAGCTGACAATAAGGTTCAGTTACGGATGGTCAGGCTCACAGCTGACAATAAGGTTCAGTTACGGGTGGTAAGGCTCACAGCTGACAATAAGGTTCAGTTACGGATGGTCGGGCTCACAGCTGACAATAAGGTTCAGTTACGTGTGGTCAGGCTCACAGCTGACAATGAGGTTCAGTTACGGATGGTCAGGCTCACAGCTGACAATAAGGTTCAGTTACGGATGGTCGGGCTCACAGCTGACAATAAGGTTCAGTTACGGATGGTCAGGCTCACAGCTGACAATAAGGTTCAGTTACGGGTGGTCAGGCTCACAGCTGACAATAAGGTTCAGTTACGAGTGGTCGGGCTCACAGCTGACAATAAGGTTCAGTTACGGATGGTCGGGCTCACAGGTGACAATAAGGTTCAGTTACGGGTGGTCAGGCTCGTTGACTTGGTTGATGCATGTCATTGTATCCCAATTGCGTGGAACGATGCTCATGTCAATCACTGGATTGTCTGGTCCATACTCGACCTTTTACAGACCGCCGTCCTATTGCTGGAATATTGCTTAGTGCGGCGTTAAACGAAAAAACAAACAAAAGGGCAAAACAGTGATGAAATTTACATAAATGGCTGGCCGTCATATTGCTGGAATATTGCAGAGTGTGGCGTTAAACAACACACAAATACTGTGATATAAGCCTATGTCCCATCGCACCCTGACAGCGTCTGTCGATGCTTATACTGCTGACCACTGGTCTGTGGTGATGTAGATTGACTATAGCTGACTGCCGCAAGCACACACACGCTCAATGGATTAAGGAGGTAAGATGGTACTGCTGGTAGAGATGCGGCGACATGTGTTCAGGGTCAAACACGGCCACGCAAGAGAAATGAATGGGGGACGTCTTTACTCTTACTCTTTCGAATCCTGGGGTGCACGGGTGGCCAAGTCTAAGGCGCCATAATTCGTTGTGAAGAGTTGCGTCCCTTGTGCACGCCAGAAACCTAAGAGCTTGGGTTTGAATCCCGGTCCACCCTGATTATGCTTTTAGGGTTGCTAGCACCATCCCCGTGCTCGTGGGTTGCACCAGAGTTGTAAAGGTCTGAGACCTGCATCACTTCGGGCTTTCCCCTCAAGCTGACACGCCGTGATATAAGTTGAATAATGTTCAAAGCAGCGTTAAACCAACTACAGTAAACTACGGTTATAACGAACACGCTTATAACGAACTGACGGATATAACGAACTTACTTTTTGGTCCCGGCTACTTGCTATAGTCATGCTGTATATATATTCTTATAACGAACTACGGTTATAACGAACTAAAATTAGTAGTCCCTTTGAGTTCGTTATAACCGTAGTTTACTGTATATCAATTTTAAATTGTCTGATGTCGTTGGATATTTACGGGCACATATGGTTTTGACTTGTCGAGAACAACCGCAGAAATACTTATAATACTCCAAACGACGTATTTTCTGTATCCAGATCAACGTATTATTAGAACTCTGTTTCAATGTGTGTCTATGTAAATTGCAATTGCTGATATTGCACACCCGTTCAATGGTATTTTGTAGGAATTAGTTTTATTTCGAAAAACATGAAAAAAATGTGAAGATTGGGGTATGATATATAACCCTATTGAGGTACATTACTTGTATCTGCGGCTATGTCTATATGCTGAGTGGAAGAGGATGAAGATGAAGATGGATGACTTATGCTTATCTGTTTTTTGTTGGATGTTTGTTGGACTTAATACTTATATAACATGTAATTTGATACTTTTTAGTGTATTGTTTTTCTATCACCAAGTGCGGGGACCTGGTTGTCGATGACGCGGGAGGCATCATTAAAGGTAGGTATATCCCCAGTATCACGTGCTTGTTAAAGTCAACAATGAATCAGGCGATTAACAAACAAAAGGCAAAACAATGACATTGATATGAATGGAGCCCTGAAAGTCCGGGGAAACCAATTGTCCTGCTCTACTGGTAGCACCCGCCACTCTACGCTTAGCACAAAGAAAAAAGCCAACTTCCCAACTGAAATAATGCGATTTAGTTGTTATACGCCGAGGAGGGTATGGTATATGATCCGATACTGGTATCATTCTTGGAAGGCGTATTATACACTGATCCGATAATCCCTGGTCCGTTAATCCCGACTGATAAGTGAGGGAAAGTCTGTTCTGCTAGTGACTGGGGCGTCGGGGTAGCCTAGGGGTTGCAGCATTCGCCCGTGTGTAATTATAATTCACCCTCACGCTCACTTCCTCTAAATTTGGACCGCCTCCGTGGTCTAGTGGTAGAGGGCGGTCGGGTAGCCTATAGCTAGTGGTTAAAGCGTTCGCTCGTCATACCGAAGACCCGGGTTCGATTCCCTACACAGGTTTAATAATGAAGCCCATTTTTGGTGTCCCCTGACGTTATGTGGCTGGAATATTGCTGAACGCGGCGTAAAACCATACTCTCTCATTGTTTGTCACGTGAACGGGAATTAGAGTTTGTGTGCTTCAGTGTTTCGACTTTAGTTCGGATTTATTTTTTTCATTTTTTAGTCCACTCTGACTGTAGCAAAACAAAAGATGGCTTGTCGACCATTACCCTGTGTGCTGATCACCCCGTCGTTGTGACATTCTTATGCAAGGGTGGCGTTGTTGCTACGCCGCAAACACAAGACGGAGTCACGTACATCCAAACAGCCGCCTTCCTACCTAAAAAAGGACCTGCCTGTCTGTTTGAGGTAATTAAAGCTACTCATAGAAATAGGGCCACTAGTGGCCCAGTCCCATAAGCCACCACCATTCGCTAGCAGAGTTGAGTCCCATAAGGTGACTATGTCGTAAAAGGCGACTAACGGGATCGGGTGGTCAGGCTCGCTGACTTTCTTGATGCATGTCTAAGCGTGGATCGATGCTCATGATTTCAATCACTGAATTGTCTGGGCCAGACTCGCTTATTTTACAGATCTCCGTCATATAGCTGGAATATTGCTGAGTGGTCAGGCTCTGTGACTTGGTTGATGCATGTCATCTTATCCCAGTTGTGTAGATCAATACTTATGTATGTCAATCACTGGATTGTCTTGTTCAGATTCGATTTCTCCAGATCACCGCCATATGCATGTGGCTGGAATATCGCCGAGTGCGCCGTTAAACAACAACAAACATCTCATTTGAAGATGCATACATTTCCACATGTTGGGCATATGTAGAAATGAAAAGGAATGTATATAAGTGTATATATGACAGTTAAGACTATCGAGACTTAAATCAACAATTTATTTCGCAGAAAATGGCGAAATCTGAAGTGTACAAGCTGAAAGTGCAGGTTGCCAGGGAGTCGAAAGTTGGGAACGTCGGCGTGAGTGACGACCACAACAACTTCCTCGTCACGTGCAGATACGACGCCGAAGCGAAAAATATAACGGAACGGGAGACGATCGATGTCGGGTAGGTACGAGCCGAGTCCACATCTCATAATACCCGCCCGTGAGGCGACTAACGGGATCGGGTGGTCAGGCTCGCTGACTTGGTTTGATGCATGTCATCGTATCCCAATTGCGTGGATCGATGCTCATGTCAATCACTTGATTGCCTTGTCCAGACTCGATTATTTGACGTGCGCCGTTAAACCCAAGTCACTCAATTGCCAAATAATTAAAATTGTTTTCAAGATGAACATTTAAGATGTATATGGGTTCAAACATTGCGAGGGAATCAACCAGTGGAAGCTTCGGACGTAAAGATCTGACCTATAGAAACGGTCTCATTTCATTACCAGAGTGAAAACAGACTCGCGCCTATCGCATGAAGGGCTGATAAAGGGGCCTAATGTGCACGCTTAAGGCACTGTGTTAAATGACTTTTCACTTTTGCATTTTACAAAACGCCTAAATACTGCAGTTCGTTTACAAATTGACATCTTCCCGAGGCAAGAGCGTTAACTGACTTTACAAGTCCAGTTTCCATCCTTGCCGAGCTAGGCTGGAATTCCTGGGCTCGATCGTAGCGCCGCCACTATTACGAGTTATGTCCATTATATGCCTCTCCCATATGGACCAATCACATTCCACCTCATGTATCACATGCATTTGCTTCAAACAAAATGGTGGCGCCGAGTCAAGATGATCTGTTCGACCATCAAGATCAGTTTTGTGATAAAACGGTTCTTACTTCGCGAAGTACATCAAATCACGTGAGCACCTTGAATAAAAACATGAAAAGATTTGGAAAATATCTGTTGACAACGAGTGGCGATGCACATGTTTTGCAAATGCTGCAATCGACCGAACACTGCATGACAGTTTACGAACCGGATTTCGATTTCGTTGTGCGATTTTGATTGGACTATGCATAGACTCGTTAGCCCAGCCAAAACGTAACTCCATAATCCCAGCCTAGTTCGGCAAGGGTGGAAACTGGACTTTTATAGTCAGTTAACTCTCTTGCCTCGGGAAGATGACACATTGACTGAGACAAAAAGAACGTTTTTGTCTAGTTTTGAGTAATATATGTAAGTAAGTCAAGATGAACCGGACAGCTGGGTCTGACCTGCGCTAAGACATATTCTGATTGCTTCGTTTTTTTTTCCGACAGCTAAGAATAATCTGTACTAGCCATCTGTATCCCACAATCTATTTGCTGAGCACCCCAAAACTTTCTATTTTTACAAGCCTTTTGACGTTTGGAAATTTTCCATAATACAACTATACATTTTTTACAGTAATCAAAAATTATTCATTTAACCACCACCCGTCGAAATGAAATGGATGCTCCCAATGTACTTGATCAGGACATTGAAAGTTGCCCACTTACCGACTTCTTTCCAAAATGGCATCTATTTACATTAAACAACTTTTGAAGTACCACTGATCATACTCTTTCTACGAAGGGACCGCCTCCGTGGTCTAGTGGTAGAGCGTCCGCCCGGAGAGCGGAAGGTCCGGGGTTCGATCCCCAGCCGCGTCATACCAAAAGACGTTAAAATATGGTACTTGTTGTTACCCTGTCTGGCGCTCGGCATTAAGGGGCTAAAACAAGGACTGGTCGGCTCGGAGTCAGTATACTGTGTCTGAGTGGGATATTCATGTTAAACTGCGGCATGGTATCTCAGTGGGCTAGCACTATAAATCGGCATCAGTCCGGACTAGTACAAGCAGCCACACAAACACACACGTACATGCACGTCGCTATATATAAGTGCAATAATCTTGGACGCGACGTTAAACCCCATTTCACCTCACCTTTCTACGAAGGTGGTCAAACGGCTCTTGCTCAAAAGGGGGCACGGGTGGCCCAGTCGTCTAAGGCGCCGCGATTCGCTGTGCAGAGTTGCGTGCCTTGGGCACGCCAGAAACCTATGATTGTGGGTTCGAATCCCGGTTCGCCCCGATTATGTTTCTAGGTTTGTCAGCACCATACCCGTGCTCGTGGGTGGTAAACGAAGTGGTAAACGTCTGAGACCTGCATCACTTCGGGCTTTCCTCCCACATTAAGCTGACACGCCGCGATATAACTGGAATACTGTTAAAAGCGGCGTTAAACCCAACTCACTCACTCACTCTTGCTAAAAAATTACATTAACGGACTTTGTAAAGCTTTCAAAGAGTTTTATGGAAGACATTTCCAAACTGGACGCATTGGTGACAAACATTATGTCCAATGCAATTCTCAATTTTGACTTTTACCATATGTTCCCGTGTTTTTAGACGAACAATTGCCTTGCCTTTGCATGTGTTTCTGACGGGTGCAGACGATGGGGCAGAATACACTCACCTTTGGCGAACACCTGGTTTCATCACTATTGCATAGTGATGCATAAACACATGCTCATAATTTAGTGGGAGACCCGTGAAGATCCGGGGTAGAATAGGTCTTCAGCAACCCATGCTTGCTGTAAAAGGCGTCTGACTGTCTGTGCTTGTAAGAGGCGACCAACGGGATCGGGTGGTCAGGCTCGCTGACTTGGTTGATGCCTGTCATCGTATCCCAGTTGCGTGGATCGATGCGCGTGTTTTCACCATTGGATTGTGTGGTCCAGAATATTGCAGAGTGCGGCGTTAAACAACCAACCAACCAACCAACCAACCATTTGGTGGGCCTCGCACAATGGACTGTGATTTCATATGTCGGAAGGGTTTTATCGCTTTTAATTTTAATTGAGTGTAATAATAAGGCTCAGGCAGTGTGGGTTCTTGGAAACACTTTAGGGGCGGGGATTAAAGCGACGAAGGGCCAGGCTCGATTGCCCACAATGGCACAAATTATGAAGCCTTTTTGTGTCCACCGCCTTGATGTTCCAGTTTTTTGGGGGGACAATACCCATCCTATCTCGCTCTTATAATACGTATAACCCAAAGCCAAATACATATACTCAGGAAATGCCGGTTGTACTTTCAGAAAACATATTTTCGAGGAGATTTTTACAAACAGTGGCAGGCGACTGAGCAACATTCCAGTCCAAATGGCTGCCGTCGACGTACTCGGAAAACCAGTCAAAGTCGTCACCCTTGGTCGTATCGTCAAGCTCCGTGCGAAGCTTACAGGTACCTCGTATATGACCTTTCTGTAGCTCGACGCTGTTGCGAGTACATGGGTAGTGGTTCTCGCGAGGAACCTAGGATTCTCACTGGCACAAGACCCGTGAAGACACGCAACCCATTCTTGCCGTAAAAGGCGACTATGCTTGTCGTAAGAGGCGACTAACGGGATCGGGTGGTCAGGCTCGCTGACTTGGTTGATGCATGTCATCGTATCCCAAATGCGTGGATCAATGCTCATGATGCCAATCACTGGATTGTCTGGTCAGGACTCGGATTATGTCCTACTCGACCGGTAGCACCCGCCACTCACACAATTTACATGGACAAGTAAGTGCTTGTTGATTAACGCCGCACCCAGCAATGCTCCTGTCATATGACCACGGCGTGTGGCAAGTGTGGATTTAAACAACAAACAAACAAGCAAACAAACACTTTTACCTCTGCCATGCGGCCATAGGTAATCTCCTATAGCTATTAACGTGGCATGGGCACGGGTGGCCCAGTCGTCTAAGGCTCCGCTAAGTTGCGTCCCTCGGGCACGCCAGAAACCTATGATTGTGGGTTCGAATCCCGGTTCGCCCCGATTATGTATGGGCACCATACCCGTGCCCGTGGGTTTCACCGAAGTGGTAAACGTCCGAGACCTGCATCACTTCGGGCTTTTCTCCCACATTAAGTTGACACGCCGTGATATAACTGGAATACTGTTAAAAGCGGCGTTAAACCCAACCCAACTCACTCACAATAAACGTGCCTCTGAAACAGTCGACCAAATAAAACATTTCTAAGCGAGCTTTGGAAAAGCAAAGTAACGAATATGGGAAGTTCGAAATTCCAAGTCTTCATTATTTTGTAAGTTGTGGTAGTATGGGAGTCGAACGTCACGTTCAAGATTACTGTGCTTATTTAGAAGCGTGTATGCGGAGGCAAGTGGTTGATGCATGTCATCGTATCCCAATTGCTTAGATCGATGCACATGCTGTCAGTCACTGGATTGTCTGGTCGAGACTCGATTATTTACACACCGCCGTCATATAGCTGGAATATTGCTGAGTACGGCGTTATACAACAAACAAACGAACTTCAGCTTTATAATTGGTGTTCAATATCAAGCCACAGGTTTTATCATAATTTTTCAGCTTGCAAAACATACCGCCACCACCAGTCACTGTGTAACAATCTTTCGCCGACACTGATTTCGTGTAATTAATTTGGGGTATTTTGCGCTTTCAGGATCACAGCGTCTGATTCCCGTCAGCTGTACGGCTGCCAACGGCTTCAGGGAGTATCGGGTTCTGCTTGGGGGGTATGCACCTTTTAGTCTCAAAAAAGGGTGGGGGAAGACTTACGCCTTCATTATGTTTTTGTGTGCCACACCCGTACTCGTGGGTTTCACCAAAGATGTAAATGTCTAAGACCTGCGCTGACTTGGTTGATGCATGTCATCTATCCCAATTGCGTTGATCAATCAATGGATTGTCTAGTCCCGACTCGATTATTTACAGACCGCCTTTATATAGCTAGAATATTGCTGAGTGCGGATAAACAGCAAACACACTCACTCGATGCAAAATACATTGTATATGCCACCCATGAAGATCAGGGTTAGAATTGGTTTGCAACCCATTCTTGCCGTATGAGGCGACTATGCTTGTCGTAAGAGGCGACTAACCGGATCAGGTGGTCAGGTACGCTGACTTGGTTGAAGCATGTCATCGATCCCTATTGCTTGGGACGATACTCATGATATCAGTGACTGGATTGTCTGGTCCAGACTCGATTATTTAAAGACCGCCGTCATATAGCTGGAATATTGCTGAGTGCGGCGTAAAACAACAAACCAACCTTTATCATAGGCTTACGATCAACGTAGCTCCGAGATGCTTTTTGGAAGGGCCCCAGGTCACCATGTAGTTGCTTTTAAGAAGCTTTTTATTCATTGAATATGTAACGCCCCAAGGGTCCTTCTGTCCGTAAATGTTTTACTGATCTGAAAGGTTGGAGGAGATGAATATTCATTCCTGAAAATGTCTTAAAATAGGATTGATAAAGGTACTTGTTCAATAGGACATATCCTCACCTACACATACGCACCTATGACACATGAATATGCCCAAGCTGCCTGTAGTGACTGGCCCCTGTGTAGAACTGCAGCTACGATTTCGCCGAACTTGAGAGCGCCGCACCTTTTTGGTGACATCGTTCAGCGCAGTAATGCAACACAAGTCCCGCCCACTCTATTTTCAGCCAACCAGAAAACGGTATTCCCTAGATGGGCGTGGCCTATTTGTTCGGATTTTGGAAACATGCGTGAAGAGGCTGTTGTTGCAGGTGCGGCGACGGCCTTGTGTTCCGGAAGAAGTCTGGTTTCAGGGTGAGGGGCAGAATCATCGACAGCCCATACTTCACGGCCTTCCGTCTTCCGGGGACGATGAAGATGTGGTTCAAATGCAACTTTACCGTCTGTCCTTTCGCAGCCAAGTGCGATGGGGTGAGTAGCTGTCCACAACCGGCCCAGGGCCCCATTCCACAAAGCCATCTTAGCGCTAAGGTGACCGTAACCCCCATACTTTAACACAGGCTTTACGATAGTCGCAACACTAAGATCGCTTTGAGAGTCTTACGCTTCAACCACAAGGCAATTTCCCACAGTTCCTCGCAAATGCACGTGGTGTCATTTTAAGTTCATTGTATGTTACTTACAGCCCTCGTGAGCACTCGGGGGAAGAATAGTCCCTGAATATATCCCATGCCGACTGGGAACAGACTATTAATGATCTGCTGGTTACACCTTGGCCCGGTTATTTGTCACTGAACGTACCCCGACGGCGCAGGTCATTGCTCATGTTGTCTACCATAACCCTCCACCATGATCCTCTATCATGAGTCTCCGCCATGCCCCCATATCATGATCCTCAGGCCCCCAACATGATCCTCTGGCCCCCAACATGATCCTCTGGCCCCGAACATGATCCTCCATGATCCTCTAGCCCCCAACATGATCCTCCATGATCCTCTGGCCCCCAACACGATCCTCTGGCCCCCAACACGATCCTCTGGCCCCCAACACGATCCTCTGGCCCCCAACACGGTCCTCTGGCCCCCAACACGATCCTCTTGCCCCCAACACGATCCTCCATGATCCTCTAGCCCCCAACATGATCCTCTGGCCCCCAACATGATCCTCTAGCCCCCAACACGATCCTCTGGCCCCCAACACGATCCTCTTGCCCCCAACACGATCCTCTAGCCCCCAACACGATCCTCTGGCCCCCAACACGATCCTCTAGCCCCCAACACGATCCTCTTGCCCCCAACACGATCCTCTTGCCCCCAACACGATCCTCTTGCCCCCAACACGATCCTCTGACCCCCAACACGATCCTCTGACCCCAAACACGATCCTCCATGATCCTCTTGCCCCCAACACGATCCTCTTGCCCCCAACACGATCCTCTGGCCCCCAACACGATCCTCTGGCCCCCGACACGATCCTCTGGCCCCCGACACGATCCTCTGGCCCCCGACACGATCATCTAGCCCCCAACACGATCATCTTGCCCCCAACACGATCCTCCATGATCCTCTAGCCCCCAACACGATCCTCCATGATCCTCTGGCCCCCGACACGATCCTCTGGCCCCCAACACGATCCTCTGGCCCCCGACATGATCCTCTGGCCCCCAACATGATCCTCTGGCCCCCAACATGATCCTCTGGCCCCCAACATGATCCTCTGGCCCCCAACATGATCCTCTGGCCCCCAACATGGTCCTCCACCATGATCCTCCACCATGATCCTCTACCATGATTCTCCGCCATACACCCGTATCATGAGCCTCTGCCCCCTACATGATCCTCTACAATCTCATTAAAAACAGATCTTAGTTTTCGCTACCGCTAACCAAAGACCTGAGGACATCCCATACCGGGTCACGTCAGACCGACCTTTCGCGAACATTGAAATGACCGACAAGAAATCGACATTTGCCAATCAGGAGACGGCTATCTCGAGCTTTACGGCACCAGTTTCAAACTGGTGACTACGCTTCGAAACATTTTGACGTATTCTCGATTAAAAAATTTAAAACAACATTCTGGAATGGCTTATAGATGGCCTAGATTGTATGGATATAATCCGTAACCCCGTGTTAAATATTTCGAGGCTGCATGATTAGAAAACACATTCCGACTGTCACTTTCAGGATCTGGTAAGCGACGGCCCCGCCTCTCTGTCATGGCCCTCTTGGCCCCCACCCCTCTGTCATGGCCCTCTTGGCCCCCACCCCTCTGTCATGGCCCTCTTGGCCCCCACCCCTCTGTCATGGCCCTCTTGGGCGACACTGGTTGTGTAGGTGACCTCGCGACGCTGGTTGTATTGGTGACCACGCGACGCCGGTTGTATAGGTGACCACGCGACGCTGGTTGTATTGGTGACCACGCGACGCTGGTTGTATAGGTGACCTCGCGACGCTGGTTGTGTAGGTGACCTCGCGACGCTGGTTGTATTGGTGACCACGCGACGCTGGTTGTATTGGTGACCACGCGACGCTGGTTGTGTAGGTGACCACGCGACGCTGGTTGTAAAGGTGACCACGCGACGCTGGTTGTGTAGGTGACCACGCGACGCTGGTTGTATAGGTGACCACGCGACGCTGGTTGTATTGGTGATCACACTAATCAGGCGAGACCGCGTGGTACTGGTTTCGTATGTAACACCTGCAGATTCATGTCAGTGATTCACTCCAAAGGTTGACAAATCAGCACTTGGCCATTGTACGAATACCCAAAATGAGATGCAAACTTGACAGTTGAGTACCTTGCCTGCCATGATTTGCTAAATGTGGTTCAAATGGCAGATCATTGATCTGCTATCGATGAACCGCCTCCGCGGTCTTGTGCGTTGAGTGTCTGTCCGGAGAGCGGAACGTTTGGGGTTCGATCCCCGGCCGTGTCATACCAAAGGATTTTAAAAGATGGTACTACTTGTTGCCCTGCCTTGCTCTCGGCATTAAGGAGCTTAAACAAGGACTGGTCGGTTCGGAGTCGGTGTACTGTGAATACGCACGCATGCACCCACCCACCCACATGAACGTGGATTTATCTAGGATTCCAAATTGTGCCCTTAAATATTTTCTTAAAGTCAGTCTTTTAACATTGTTTAGTAACATGATATTCAATAGTGTAAACCAAGCATTAAAGGCTCTCCCCCTATTGGCCCTGATTTCAGTGAAATACAAGTGCGCCAAACCATCACTGTTGATATAACTTTTTAACATGAATTGGAAATGTTATAATTCCAATTTGTTCATTTTTACTGACGTGTGCTGCAGGTTTAGGATCATCTTCCCGAGGCAAGGGAGTTAACTGACCATAAAAGTCCAGTTTCCACCCTTGTCGAACTAGGCTGGTATTATGGAGTTAGTTTGGCTGGGCTAACGAGTCTATGCATAGTCCAATCAAAATCGCGCACCGAAATCGAAATCCGGTTTGTAAAATGTCGTGCAGATTTCTGTCGATTGCAGGATATGCAAAGCATGTGCACCGCCAACTCGTTGTCAACAGATATTTTCCAAGTCTTTTCATGTTTTTAATCAAGGTGCTCACGTGATTTGAATCACTTCGCTATGTAAGACCCGTTTTATCACAATATAGATCTTGATTATCAATCAGATCGTTTTGACTGGGCGCCACCATTTTGTTTGAAACAAATGCAAGTGATACGAGAAGTGGAATCTGATTGGTCCATAGGAGAGGCTTAGAAGGAACATAACTCGTAATAGCCACTGGTGGCGCTACGGTCGACCCCAGGAATTCCAGACTAGTTTGGCAAGGGTGGAAACTGGACTTTTATAGTCAGTTAACTCCCTTGCCTCGGGAAGATGGTTTAGGACCTAGAGCAGATCTAGATAAATCCCTGTGACCAGTGATGGCATGCATGATCATCCCAACGGGGCCACGCACGCCCTTTGTCTGTGTTTCAGAGTTCCTGCTACATTGGCAACAGAAAAAGATCGAAACGATCCGCAGCAGCGTATCATCTACAAACAGGTATATGTATTTTCAAAGTTACATGCATGTAACTCCGCACTCCGCATAAGTCAACTGTAAGACAGCGGCCTGTCATGAAATGTCAAGAGGCGACTAACGGTATCGAGTGGTCAGTCTCACTGACATGGTTGATGCATATCATCGTATCACAATTGCGTGGATCGATGATCATGTCAATCACTGGATTGTCTGGTCAAGACTTGATTATTTACAGACCGCCATCATACAGCTGGAATATTGCTGAGAGCAGGGTTCAACAGCAAACAAACTAACAAATTATTGACGATCGCTGATACTGTGAGCAATGTCAGGGGCACCGAGGCGATCGGTCACCCGAGTCACCAAGACTGACCACCCGATCTATTTATTCGCCCCTCACAAGTTTGGACAGCCGAGGGGGACCTACTCTTACCCGTGACCCCACATGGTTAAGGGGAGAGGTTGCTAGGGGCGCTCTGACTGGAATGAGATTAGAATCTGATATTCCCCAGATTCCACTGTTTAGCTTCTTCCCGAGGCAAGGGAGTTAACCGACTAGAAAAGTCCAACTGGACTTTTATACTCAGTTAACTCCTCGGGAAGATGACTGTTTACAGGCCTCGTGATTTAACTGGAATATTGCTTATTGCGGCTTTAAACAACATTCATTCACTGTCTGGATCTGCTCGTTGGTTCGAGTCCCAGTCTCATCCTATTGTGATCTTTGGTCAGTCAGCGCCATGTACCAGTGTTCGTGAGTTTTCCTATACATTGATACATAACTCGATTATTTACAGACCGCCGTCATATAGCTGGAATACTGCCGGGAGCGGGGTAAACAAATCGTATATACGAAAAAAACAACTCTGTAATACCTCTAACTGCATACAACAGTGCAGCGGAAAACCACAACAGCATAACACCTGTGCAGGGATTCCGGGATGGAACTGATCCCAAGTTTTCACGAGTGGTCTGGCAGAAGACATTACCGATTCGATCACTGTTTCGTGTCCCCGAGCATTAATGCTTGCAGTCGTGTATGCCTTGTCCACACTCGATTACTTATGACATACCATTTAAGCTATCCTTGACAAGTGGCTTGTTGTGTACAGTTAGATAGACATATAAACTGTAATCCATATTACCATAAATATTATTCAATTCAGCTTTCAATACATGTGGATGATCAGTTACGCAGCATGCTATCGACACTGGCTTGTCCGGTATTGGCAGCCGTTACACTGCTGTAAGAGTGCGGCCTGTCGCTTTAAACACTCTCCTCTCTTGCAGGGATGGAACATGACATGCCGGACGAGGACGAGGCGTCTGACATTGTAGCCGCGACGTCTCCCGTCACCATCACGCTGTCCTCCTCCAACCGACGACGACGACGACGGCGTGGTACATGCCGCATAAACCCCCACGCATTCCTCTCTCGACGACCTCCGTGTCGTTCCGCCCCTCCATAACACCATCAGTATTGATGTACTCCTTTGGCAATTAAAGTGGTGGTAGTGTTCTTGTTTGTCCAAGTTGTGATTACAGGGGTCGAACAATTACTTAGGTATAGGATCGCGGCAGTCATACATCAATTGCTGTTTTTTCGTAAGGGGCGATTAACGGGATCGGGTGGTCACTCGCTGACTTGGTTGATGCATGTCATCATATCCCAATTGCGTGGATCGTTACTCATGTCAATCACTGGATTGATGTCAATCACTGGATTGTCTGGTCAGACTCGATTATTTACATACCGCCGTCAAATAGCTGGAATATATAGATAAATATTGCCGAGTGCGGCGTTAAACAACAATCAAACAAAATATTAATTGCCATTGCAAATTTACTCCGAAACCCAGTTAACCTGAGCGTCTGAACTCGGATGAAATCGCCAGGTTCCACAAACTTCCCGCTTAATAAAACATGGGCATGTCGTAATGCGTATCCAATGTCCCTAATACGTCCCCAATGTCAAATGTCGTCTGCCCAAGGCAAGGGAGTTAACTGACTATGAAGTCCAGCTTCGACACTTGCCGCAAAAGACTGGAGTTTGGTTGGACTAACGAGTCCGTGTATAGTTCAATGAAAATCGTGTAACGAAATCGATATCCGGGAAAATGTCAAATGCATGCAGAATGTGTTCCCTGCCTTGATAGCTGTCACTGGTTTGTCTGGACCAGAGTTGGACATTTACAATCTGCAGAAATAGCTGGGGTCTGTAGGTATTGCTGAATGCAGACTCCAACAACATCCATTCTGTCATCAAATCTGCACAGTTCATACGCAATGAAAGATGCATTTGGGTACAATTTTTAACTTTCAAGTCATGAAACCTGGGACTTTTGAAAAACTTAATATCTGGGAGAAATCAAATGTTCTGCGTCCCCTTTCTGAACAGCAGTAACTGCGCAACCTAAACATGTTGCTGTAACCACAAGATCCAAATAATATGCACCAACTGGAGCGAGACGGTCACAATGTCTTTATTGCATAAAAAAGCTGCAAATTGAAAAAGAATATATATGCTGATGAAGTCTTGGGTATCCAAAATCTATGTAGACACATAAAAATTTCAGTTTCAAATAAGACGAACATTATATCCAGCAGAACTGACAAACTGCTCCACACATCGATTGAAAGGGAAAGCTGATAACTTTTGTAATGTCTTCTTGCTTGGGACAATACCAAAGGCAATCCTAAATTACAATAAACCATTTATTGAAAACCTTGGGTTACATACAGTTTTCTTTGCAATCTCCACTGTTTTCAGTCTCCCTGGCTTGTACCAACACCTTTTTAGTATTAAACATCCGGTGTCATGTTCCAGGCTTAATGTGTCTACAAATTAACACTAAACTATAATTGGCCATATTGGCTGTTTCTTATCTTTTGATCAGCAGTACGACACATATTTGAATACGATTATACATATGGCTGATATATACAACTTGTCTACAATTTCATTGCTTGATGTGGTGCGGGATATACAGATACAACACAATGATCCTACACAATGGCTACTATCACTGATGTACAAGGCGCTGGATGCTGGTGTTTTCAAGGAGTCTGTCGTCGTCTTGCACGCTGCTTGTCAAACCTGGCCTCCATTTCATCCAGCACTCGTGGGGTGTAGCGTACAACCAGACTCACAGTACCTGTGGGGTAAACATCTGCTGATGAACATACGAGGAATTTAACAAATGCAAAGTCCAGCATCCTATACACATCACCGAAAAGCAACCCAAAAATAAGGAGGGCATCCACAAGAATGTGTATCCATCTTTAGGAATGAATGCTGCTATTCATAATTTGGTACCACTTATATTAACTTCCCTTCACAATTGTAAACTTTACAGTAACAGCATGCAGATGTGCTTCAGCGCATGTAGGTCGACCAGCAGGAAAAGCGTGCATGACCCAGATTGTTGGGAGGTGACCATGGAGATGCTAGGTGTGTGAGGGAGGATTGTCTTTTTAGAAGCTGGAAACCCTTGTTTAGGCACGTTGCCAATTTGGATCGAAAGAATGAGAAATGCATAGTGTGGGATAGGATAAGTATAAAAAATTATCTAAGAAACAAAATGCACACTTGAATGCTTCATCATCTTCTAGTGCTAGCCCTTGTAGATGCTTTCAGTTGAAAGAAATCCATTATTTTTAACTAACGGCTTCTAGAAAACAGCTGTTCGACTGAGCTGAGGTTAACTTTGGTTATGTCACAAGACTTCCATTGAAACGGAAAAAGCGTGCAGCTTTTTGCTTTGAAGCAGAGTATAAAGGATTTATTCTGTCTCCCAGAAGTCCACATGCAGCCTGTATTGCTCGTGGCATGGTGAAAGAGATTTATTCCCCAACTGAGAAACATAATACCCTCCAAGGTGGGGTTACACAGTATTTTTTTTCATCAAGGTTATGTGGACCAATCAGATCTTGTCATTCTGACATGGAGGTTTGGTAAGTTGTTTTATGCATCCCTCTGGCTCGTGGTTTTAAACCTAACGTGGGACACATAAAACCTCATGTACCCCTTGTGATCCTGCTACAACTATAAACATAGCCTTTTCAACTTGACCACCTGTATTTCTTTACGGATCTTTACTTACTGGCATCACACACACACACACAACTCTATTAAAGTCGGTAACACAGAAGAAATGCGCCACATCTTGTTTGTCAATTAGACATATGGCTGTTGTGAGCCTAAGTGACATGTTATACACATGGGGCAGCAAACAAACAATACAGATTAGTCACCTTAAACTGTTTACAGCATTTCAAGCAGAATTATAAAAAAAAATGTCTTCCCATTTGTGTCAAAATCACAATTGGTTGGTTAGTTGGTTTGTTGTTTAACGCCTCACTCAGCAATATTCCAGCTATATGATGGCGGTCTGTAAATAATAGAGTCTGGACCAGACAATCCAGTGATTAATATCATGAGCATCGATCCAGGCAATTGGGATCGATGACATGCATGTCAAGTCAGCGAGCCTGACCACCCGATCCCAATTTGTCGCCTCTTACGGCAAGCATAGTCACCTTTTAAGGCAAGCATGGGTTGCTGAAGACCTATTCTATCCCGGAATCTTCACGGGGCTCAAAATCCCAATTAGACTGGACAGGAGTATAACATTCTGTATTCCAAACACTGCCCAGAGAAAACTTTCAATACCCAGTGTGCATGATAATTTGTAAGTAAATACTCAATAGTTGCAAAAGACCTGTGAAGACCCAGGGTAAAATAGCTATTCAGCAACCCATGCTTGTTGTAAAAGGCGACTAACAGGATCGGGTGGTCAGGGTCGCTGTCTTGGTTGATGCATATCATCGATCCCAAATGCGTGGATCGATGCTCATAATATTAATCACTGGATTGTCTGGTCCAGACTCAATTATTTACAGACCGCCGTCATATAGCTGGAATATTGTTGGGTGCGGCGTAAAACAACAAACCAACCAACCAACAGTTGCAAAATTATTCTGGAGCCTTCAATTACCAAAACTTGTGTTTCAGTTTACAGTGCACACCTACCTGAAGCTTCCTTCAAGAGTTCCACGGCCTTCTCGTGGTGCTCTCCCTCCACACTCTGGAACACACAAGGGATGCTCAGCACACAGTACCACACAACTCATCTTATTGTCATTGGCAAGACTAAAAACAAGTTTCATTCAGTACAGGGATTAATCTAGGATCCAAACTGAGAGCCCTCGCCAGGCAAATTGGAAAACAAAAGTCATTCTGTTCAATTGTTAAGTTTGAAAGGTTCTTCCTTACTTAATTTCAGGAATAATAAATTAAACATCCTCTTTATTGGTCCTGTTATCCATGAAATATGAGACCCCTTAATCAAAAAACCATTGTATTAGTTACAACTATATAAATATTCATTGAGAAGTTTGACTGACATTAGCTGCAGATAAAAATCAAAACATGCCAAAACCGTAGTTTTTTTTACAACAATGCGATTGTCTCCCTTACATGCTGAATTTGATAAACACAGTCTTTCCACAGTAAAAGTTGCCTATTCAGGCCCCATGACAGCTGAGCTAACTGCAGTGATGAACCAGCACGTAGGCCCTGTCTCCCTCTAATTATGATTATTGTGGTAAAATTTCAGACAAATATCCATTTCAGGGTTCAAATAAATACATATCCGATCTCATTAAAATCAGATCTAAGTTCTCGCTGCTGCTAAACAAAGATCTGAGGACATACCATTACGGGTCATGTCGAAACGACCTTACGCAAACTTTGACCGACCACTGAAACAACTAACAAGTCGACATCAGCCAATTAGAAAGCAGCTTTCTCGAGCTTTACGACACTAGTTTCAACCTGGTGACTTCCATTTCAGACTACGCTTAAAAATTATGTTGACATAGTTCTCGATTAAAATTTTGAGAACTGAACAAACGAACATTCCAGAATGTCTAATATATGGTTGCGATTGTATGGAAGTGCTTCCCACGTACTGTACAATGCCTCCTCTGTTCAAATGTTTATCCCACGGATGCGAGAGATTGACGATTATTTTGACAGAATCAGTCGCATCGGCTGTAACTGTGATTCAGAATACCCTGTGTTAACTTTTTCGAGGTTGTATGGTTAGAAAACACATTCCGACTGTCACTTTCATGATCTGGTAAGCAACGCTTTGATTGGTCGGATGAAAGGTCGTTCTGACGTGACCCGTAATGGGATGTCCTCATTTTTGTTTAGCGATAGTGAGAACTAAGATCTGATTTTAATGAGATTGAAACAACTGAATAACCAACAACATAGCATGAATTTTAAGATTTAACGTCATAGACCAAATATGACATCATATCAACGTCATTAGGACCATGATTTTAATCAATTTTCTTTATTGTTGCCTATCACTCAGCGATTTTTACATGTATCATTATGAAATGTGGTATGCAGAATAACATATAAATGACACAAGAGTAAAATAGAAAATGAATTGAAACTATTATCATTCCTAATGTTTTAAACATGATGATTAAGCATTTTTGGAGACTTATTTTATTGTAAATTTGATTTGTTTACCATTTTAAAATTGATAATTTGTTGCTGCTGTGTTTTTGCCTCAAATGAAAGTTCCTTTTTTGCTTCTGTCACACCAACAGATGATGGACAGAGACTTTTCCCATATCCTGTATCACCAACATCTTCTTTTTTATACACCACACCCAGCAATATTCAAGCTATATGATCACGGTCTGTAAATAATCGAGTCTGGACCAGACAAAGCAGTGATTGACATCATGAGCATTGATCCACACAATTTGGAACACAATGACATGCATCAACCAAATCAGCAAGCCTGACCCACCAATCCCGTTAGTCGCCTCTTATGCCAAGCATACCAGTAGTCGCCTTTTATGGTAAGCATGGGTTGCTGAAGACCTATTCTATCCTGGATCTTAACAGTTATCCAATTTCTACATTCTGTTCCTTAGAAAAGTCTCTTTAACAAATTACCTCCCAGTGTTTGATGGACATTAGAATTAAATAATCTAATGACTATAGGACCCGTGAAGATCCGGGGTAGAATAGGTCAATTATTTACAGACCGCTGTCATATAGCTGCAATATTGCTGAGTGCTGCGTAAAACAACAAACAAACAAACCAATGACTATACATGCTATAGGGATTCATTTCGTTCCTTCTATTTCTTTCACCTATTCCTTCAAAGACAGGTATATTCTTCAACCAGACTGTACGCCTCAAGGACCCATCATTTGAAAACAATGAGATGACCAGTGCAATGGCATGACCTAAATGAACTCTCCTGTCTCACTACAGGATTCCTACTGCCTCGACTCATACACAAGATCCAGGTTAGAATTGATCTTCAGCAACCCACACTTGTCGTAAGGGGCGACTAACAGGATTGGGTGGTCAGATTCGGTTGATGTATGTCATCGTAGCCAAACTGCGTAGATGGATGCTCATGATGTCAATCACTGGATTGTCTGGTCCAGATTTGATTATTTACAGACTGCTGGAATATTGCTGGGTGTGGTGTTAAACAACAAACAAAAACATACCACTCCATTGACCGAGAGCAGCTGATCGCCACGCTTGAGCCCCTGGTGCCTGTCTGCCACACCCCCTGGAATGATGCGTGAGATGTAGATGGGCGAGTTCTGCTCCTTGCCCCCCATCACATTGAAGCCCAAGCCCTCCTCTGTCTTGGGGAGAAGCACGACCCTGGGGTGAGCGTGACCCTCACTAGCGGCAAACGCAGCTACAGTTGCCTGGAAGCAAGGCGAGTTAGATTTAGATATGTGAGGTTCACGATTTTCTCACATCATTAGCAATGTCCATGCATGCATGTGTGAGTGTGTGTATGTGTGTGTGTGTGTGTGTGTGTGGGGGGGGGGGGGGGGGGGGGGGGGTTTACCATGAATACCCCACTAAGACTATTATTGACTCCGAGCTGACTAGTCTTTGCTTTATCCCCTTAGTGACGAGCACAGGTAAAAAAACCAAGTACAATCTTTTATCTTTTATCGGCCAAGGACAGGGATTCAACCACTGACCTTCCACCCTCTGGGCAGATGCTCTTCCTCAACACCACAGAGGCAGTCCTTGTGTGCATGCAGGCAATTGGTGCATACAGGGAATTGCAGGTCATCAAAATGACAAAACATTTAGTCCATGAACGACTGCACAATGTGCTCATATCAACATGTGACCAATCTCACTGAAATCAGATCTTAGTTGTCGTTATCACTTATCAGCATGATCAGTGAACAAAGATCTGAGGACATCTCATAACAGGTCACATCAGACAACCTTTCGCGAACTTTGATCGACCAACGAAATAACTAACAAGAAGTCAACATTACCCAATAAGAAAGCAGCTTTCTAGAGCTTTACTGCACTAGTTTCAAACTGGAAATTGCCATTCCAGATTATGACTTCGAAAATATTGATTCAAAAAATTATTGGAAAAGTGAACAACTAAATTTCTGGAATATCTAATACATGGCCAAGAATGTACAATGACAGTTCTTCCCTCTGGCTATTGAAAGTCTCTTCCATTTCAAATGTTTATTCCACTGAAGCGAGAAACAAACAATGATTTTCACGAAATCAGCTGCAACTGTTGTGTTGAAAACCTCATGTTTACCTTTTTGAGGTTGCATCACTAGAAAACACATTCCAACTGTCACTTTCCTGATCTGATAAGCTACGCTCTATTGGTTGGATGAATGCTCACTCATAATGGGATGTCCTTAGATCTTTGTTTAGTCATAGCGAGAACTAGGATCTGATTTCAACGAGATTGACAAGTGACCAACAGAATAACTATTTCATTGACAACTTGAAATTGTTGAGCAAAATTTCTTAAACCATAACAACTTTATCCCACAGTCAAGACATAATGAGTGAGTTTTGGTTAAACACAGCTTTTATCAGTATTCCACTAAATCATGGCATGTCAGCTTAATATGAGAGGAAAGCCTGAAGTGATGCAGGTCTCGCACGTTCATTAGTTTGGACAAACCCACAAGCATGGGTATAGTGCAGACAAACCTCGAAACATAATCGGGGAGAAGCAGGATTCAAACCCACAATCATATGTTTATAGCGTGTCCCACGTCTCTAGGTATATTTTGAATGAAAACAAATTGTAAAGTATTTACAGAGGTGTTGATTAACAGATAATCTTGTCGAGTTGTCAAAACCATAAACACCTTCCACTGTCATCCAAGTACAAATACTGACAATGGACAAATGAAGGATATCTGCAGCATATACACAGCATTGATGTAGCAGCTTGTCAGTGATGATGAGATGTGTGTAAGTCACAAATAGTAGTTACAGACGCACCTTAGCTGTAGCATTAGCCCTGATCTCTGGACTGCCAGACATGTCGACTGTCTCGTACACATTCTCGTACACCTCCCTGACGGCTGTCAGGAAATCACTCTGAAGAATCTTCTGTAGAGCCACCAGCTTCTGTGCAGGGAACTCCCCACCTGTCACAACAGTCAACTAGCATCACTCTCCACAGATGGTCCATCACCAGGCTTTGCCCTAGCCTCTTAAAACTGGGTCATTATGACTCTCAAGCTGTAATACCAGGAGTCATATGTCTTTCTAAGGGGGTCATTTCAACAAAATACTAACTGATGTTAGATTTCATAATCAATTTAATTTTCAATTTAATATACATGATATATATTACCTTGTTTCTCTATTCAAGCTGTTTAAATCATGCTGTAAGTATTTATCTACTCTCTACACAATTGCTAATCTAATTATAATGTAGTTTGTAATGTCCAATATTTGGTATTATGTTTGCAGATATATGTAACAGATTGATGTAGACTGATAAGGGTACTGCTATATAATATTATAACTCTTTACATGATGTGGCGTAACCTATTCTTGACAGTGACTAACAGGAAATACAACCACCCTTCTAGGGAACTATTGAAACTTAATTCTTACTGGCTGCAAGCGAGAGCTTTCATGAAGGACTCTTCCATTTTAAACATTAGGATTTCCAACATTAGACAAAGCTGATATCGTTTTTTTTGTTATTGTCAAGGGATATGTCTGTTTCAAAATTTAATGTTCTGACATTATAGTGCAATTAATTGATTTTGACAGTTTGAATGATCTGCGTCACTTTTGTGTATTTTCTCCTTAGATTGAGTCAAATATGTAGGTTTTCTGCGGCAGGATGAACCCTGCATCACAGGGACGTATCTTGGTGTTCTTTGACTATTATTTTCAGCCCCTGGCGACATAGTCGACATCATTGTGCATCAAACATCAGCAAAAATTCCAAAATTAGAAATCCAAATTTCCAAATGCAGGTTTTCATAATGTTTTAGCTTTGCAAAGGCCATGGTGTTTCTCTGATAACATGACAAACAAAGACTATTGAAAACGAACCAGAATCCACTTAATTGAAATATTCCAGCTGTAAGACAGAGGTTTGTAAGTGATCAGGTCTGAACAAGTCAATCCAAAATGTTTATCTTAAACACCTGAGCCATGCATGGAAGTAAACAATATTTCAGTTATATCACAATTTATCACTGTGAGCTTCCTCAATTGTTGATCATATCAATCACTGTTAATAACGTGGGAGAATGACCTGAAGTGTCCAAAATACATGCAATATGTAACATTAGAATACATGTTGCTAGATATTGATAATTAATTGAAACATCACACAAATAAGAGAGTGTCATCATCATGGTCGTTAGTCAAATGATAAACATACAAATTCATGAATTAATCTTGTTCTTCGCAAACCTGGTCATATCGTGATAAATTAAAGTCAAACTCACTCCTTTGCAATACATCCAGAAGTTCAATCGCTCTGTTGATATCTGAAAAAGGAAAGAATAATTTAGAGGAAGATTAACATGATTAAGTCAATGTGTGCTGAGCTTGATTCAAAATATGTAAGAGACATACACCCAACTTGACCATAACACAATACAAAATACAAAGACTACGTGCAAAATAATGGAAATAAAGAAATAGTTACAAGCAGAAATACAACCTGTAAAAACTCAATGTTAAGGATAAGGATATCAGCAGTCTGGTGGACCCCTTTTGTGATTACTCATGTCATTATACTTATAGGACAGGAGTGGAACACATGGTCTCACAGAACACGAGGGATGTAGAAGGGATGCAACCACAGTAATGAATCTCTATTAAATGCATAATAGTATGCCATTTCATTTAAATGATTAAGGTGATGAATCTGATATATATATCCCCTGGCTCCATGCATTATTCATTCTTGGTTGATTTTTTAACACCACAATATTCCAGCTAAACAACTGCGATCTGCAAACAATCACGTGTGGACCAGATAATCCAGTGATTGACATCATGTGGATCGAGCTACGCAAGGTGGGATACGATGACATGGAGAAATGTTTAGTGTTTTCCGGCGAATGAATTGTTGTTACTTGTCCTGCCTGTATACGTTAGAAGTTTGACACCTTGTCAAATATATTCATTGGTACGCGATTAATTACTGTACCCACGTTAAAGTTCGCATCAACATAATCCAGGAAACTGGCTCCATTTTCTTGACATTCGGGAAAGGCTTCCGGTCGTACCCCCCTCGAAATGTTATATATATATGCAATTATGCATTGCCGCTCAATCATTTTAATTATATATATCTTTGAGGGGGGATACGGGTTGAGGTCTGAACTGGGTTTCTAGAGTGAAAAGTCGGAGGGAGTGAAATATGCAACTATACATTCCGTAAAATCCTACCACATGATGTCAACTGAAAAGTATGGACAACTTGCCTCTCTTCCGCATCAGAATCACGACATAAAAACAGAAATAATGTTGGAATCTGCACTGTACTTGGCATGTCTATGCAATACATAATATGAGAAAAATGCTACATACGTACAAAATCATTTACACATTTATCAATCATGAAATAAATCAAAATGCAATTACCTTTCTCCAAAGTGAGGGGCTCTGCCACAGACGCCATTTTGTCTTATGAACAGAATACTATTTGCTAACGACAAATAACTGTTACGGTTCAAATATAATTTCTCCGGTGCGTATTATCCTGGTATTCTACATCTCCGCGGTAGATATTTTCTGAAGCTATTTTTTAATTCAAGAGCTTGCAGTAAAATAGATATATGATACATATATCACATATAAATCGATGATTATACGATAGTAGTTGTTTTAAGCAGTACATTTTAGTTTTCCTTACACTGGAGATAGGCCATTAACGATGTATAGAGTTTATTGTTTCGCTCAAAATGAGTTATCTCCCTTGGACCAGCTCTCAAGATCCCGACAGCTTCGTTACCACCCGATAGTATGGGAGCTCTGCGAATGGAATATCGCCTTAAAGAGCTTTCAGATCCAAGTTTTGATCTGAGAATAAATAAATAATGTCTAATTTTAGTTTCTAATACATCCCAGGAACTTCGCGAAAAAGTAATATTTGGATTTCCGCCCAGACAGAGTTTTAAATTTAGTCCACCAATCTCAAATAAAATGGAGATCAGAAAGACACAATAACTGGAGAGCATAATTGGTTGAAACACAGGCGAATCCAAGTCTACCCTGTGACCAGCCTGATTGGGTGTCTCAGTACACCTACGTGTAAAGTCCATATGTGTCCATTGGATGTTTCCAGGCTAAATATTTCAAAGTTATTCGTTACTTTCAAATTCGCTATTTCTCATTAAAAGGGACCCATTTCCACCCCGTGCTTTCTAAAACATGAACAGATGTGTCACTGCAGGCTTTACACTTTCCTCGAAATACAAGACTCCGAGAGAAGGAGGATTCAAATAGGCTGTGACATGTGCTCTCCCTCCAAGAAAACACAAATTTAGATTCTATATTCCCAGTAGGTGTGTCAAGTAAACCACCAAGGACACGCACTGCTGTGTATAGAAAAAACAAAGGTTCTATATTCCCAGTAGGTGTGTCTAATAAACCACAAAGGACATGTGCTGCTGTGTATAGAAACACAAAGGTTCTATATTCCCAGTAGGTATGTCTAGTTAATCACCAAGGACATGTGTTTCTGTGTAGAGACACACAAAGGTTCTATATTCCCAGTAGGTGTGTCTAGTAAACCACTAAGGACATGTGCTGCTGTGTATAGAAACACTAAGGTTCTATATTCCCAGTGGGTGTGTCTAGTAAACCACCAAGGACATGTGCTGCTGTGTATAGAAACACAAAGGTTCTATATTCCCAGTGGGTGTGTCTAGTAAACCACCAAGGACATGTGCTCTCTGTTGCTGTGTATAGAAACACAAAGGTTCTACATTCCCAGTAGGTGTGTCTAGTAAACCACCAAGGACATGTGCTGCTGTGTATAGAAACACAAAGGTTCTATATTCCCAGTAGATGCGTCTAGTAAACCACTAAGGACATGTGCTGCTGTGTATAGAAACACAGGTTCTATATTCCCAGTAGGTGTGTCTAGTAAACCACTAAGGACATGTGCTGCTGTGTATAGAAACAGTAAGGTTCTATATTCCCAGTGGGTGTGTCTAGTAAACCACCGAGGACATGTGCTGCTGTGTATAGAAACACAAAGGTTCTATATTCCCAGTGGGTGTGTCTAGTAAACCACCAAGGACATGTGCTGCTGTGTATAGAAACACAAAGGTTCTATATTCCCAGTAGATGCGTCTAGTAAACCACTAAGGACATGTGCTGCTGTGTATAGAAACACAAAGGTTCTATATTCCCAGTAGGTGTGTCTAGTAAACCACCAAGGACATGTGCTGCTGTGTATAGAAACACAAAGGTTCTACATTCCCAGTGGGTGTGTCTAGTAAACCACCGAGGACATGTGCTGCTGTGTATAGAAACACAAAGGTTCTATATTCCCAGTAGGTGTGTCTAGTAAACCACTAAGGACATGTGCTGCTGTGTATAGAAACACTAAGGTTCTATATTCCCAGTAGGTGTGTCTAGTAAACCACCAAGGACATGTGCTGCTGTGTATAGAAACACAAAGGTTCTACATTCTCAGTGGGTGTATCTAATAAACGACAAAGGACATGTGCTCTCTGTTGCTGTGTATAGAAACACAAAGGTTCTATATTCCCAGTAGATGTGTCTAGTAAACCACCAAGGACATGTGCTGCTGTGTATAGAAACACTAAGGTTCTATATTCCCAGAAGTGTGTGTCTAGTAAACCACCAAGGACATGTGCTCTCTGTTGCTGTGTATAGAAACACAAAGGTTCTATATTCCCAGAAGTGTGTGTCTAGTAAACCACCAAGGACATGTGCTGCTGTGTATAGAAACACAAAGGTTCTATATTCCCAGTAGGTGTGTCTAGTAAACCACAAAGGACATGTGCTGCTGTGTATAGAAACACAAAGGTTCTATATTCCCAGTAGGTGTGTCTAGTAAACCACTAAGGACATGTGCTGCTGTGTATAGAAACACTAAGGTTCTATATTCCCAGTGGGTGTGTCTAGTAAACCACCGAGGACATGTGCTGCTGTGTATAGAAACACAAAGGTTCTATATTCCCAGTGGGTGTGTCTAGTAAACCACCGAGGACATGTGCTGCTGTGTATAGAAACACAAAGGTTCTATATTCCCAGTAGGTGTGTCTAGTAAACCACCAAGGACATGTGCTGCTGTGTATAGAGACACAAAGGTTCTATATTCCCAGTAGGTGTGTCTAGTAAACCACCGAGGACATGTGCTGCTGTGTATAGAAACACAAAGGTTCTATATTCCCAGTAGGTGTGTCTAGTAAACCACCAAGGACATGTGTTGCTGTGTATAGCAACACAAAGGTTCTATATTCCCAGTAGGTATGTCTAGTAAATCACCAAGGACATGTGCTGCTGTGTATAGAAACACAAAGGTTCTATATTCCCAGTGGGTGTGTCTAGTAAACCACCAAGGACATGTGTTTCTGTGTAGAGACACACAAAGGTTCTATATTCCCAGTAGATGCGTCTAGTAAACCACCAAGGACATGTGTTTCTGTGTAGAGACACACAAAGGTTCTATATTCCCAGTGGGTGTGTTTAGTAAACCACCAAGGACATGTGCTGCTGTGTATAGAAACACAAAGGTTCTATATTCCCAGTGGGTGTGTCTAGTAAACCACCGATGACATGTGCTGCTGTGTATAGAAACACAAAGGTTCTAAATTCCCAGTGGGTGTGTCTAGTAAACCACTAAGGATCTCTTCTCTTCTCGTTCTCTCTGTTTCTGCAACTCGTCTGCTATGTTTTTTTACATCCCTGCAGGAACCTCCACAATCCATCCCAATCGGCTCGAGTCTGCTGACACCCTCATTACTTCACTAATCGAGTTCTAATGGATGTGTTATCTGTAGAGTTCCCAGGTCCTCTTGTGTCTGCCCGGGTCCAGGTGCACGGTGGGGACTAGAGGCTTGGCTACTCTAATTGTACTGAAGGAGTGTGCTCAACGGTCAGAGTGGAAAATTATCGCTATTCATGAGGGTGCCCGCCACTTGCCCATCCGTCACGTGACTCAAGCATTGTTGACGCTGACCACCGGATCGATGCTTGGTCGTCAACCTTGAACTGGTTTAGATCTGCTAAGTCTCTTTCTCCCTGGGTCATTAATGACAGCTAATGTGTTTAGAGTTCAATTCCCTTCTCGAGTACAATTTGTGAAGCCTGTTCTTGATCCAACTTGCGGTATTGCTAAATGGTGTTAAACGCGGCGTAAAAACACAGTCGCTAATGTGTTCAGCATTCGATTCCCAAAAATCGATTACAATGTGTAAAGTCTATTCCTGATGCAACTCTTGATATTCTACGTTATGCTAATCGCGGCGCAAAATTACAGTGACTCACACATTCTTTCTTTACTGTCCATCGTCTGATGGCGTCAACCTGCACATTTTTGAATATTGTGGATTTTTTTAAAAAGACTCTGATAATATTTAAATCATTTTAGCCTTACCTCTAAATTTCATGTTGTAAAATTTAGTTGCGTTTATCGTCGTGTCCATTATTATTTCATTTAAGTTAAATTTTACGGCGTGTCACCTTATCGTTGGAGGAAGCCTAGGTGATGCACAATTCTTAAACGTTTACACATTTGGGGATATTACGAGCACTTGAATGGTGCTGACAAATCACGTGTTCTAATCGGGGCCCTTGTTCTGATTTCCAAGACACACCCGATGGCGATTCCTAAAAATTGTCCCCAGTTCTTACATTCTGTAGATCTAGTGGAAACATGTGACCTTATACCTCATGCATTAACATTCTTGACCATTTGCATCACTTTTAAATTGACTTGCCATTGCATGTGTTTGTGACGGTACCTCCGAGGTGGCAGGATACGCTCACCTTTTCGCGAACACCTGATATTATCACTGTTTGATAGTGATTCATAAACTCAGTTTATTATATAGTCGGAAACGTAGAAAGGACTTTGCTTTTAACGTAGCCTTCTTTTTACCATGGAGGGGTGGTCGGGTAGCCTAGTGGTTAAAGCGTTCGCTCGTCACGCCGAAGACCCGGGTTCGATTCCCGACATGGGTACAATGTGTGAAGCCCATTTCTAGCGTCCCCCGCCGTGATATGGCTGGAATATTGCGAAAAGCGGCGTAAAACCATACTCACTCACTATGACCATGGGAAGGTTCTTGTCGTGTTTATGTAAACAGTGAATGTCGGATATGCAACAACATAGAGTGTTGACCTCTCGTAGCGAATCGTCGCAGTGTATATACTAGATGCACCTAATATAGCCCTACATGGAAGAAACAAATATACCACTGGGTGTCAATGTCTTAAAATCATGGTAACTAACCACACAATCACCGGTGAAACGGGCATCACTGCGGCCTTTTTCGATGCAGAGTTACGTCCCTTACTTTGTCTTTGAAATCGAGGCCCATAAGGGCCTGTGTCTGTCAGGATGTTCACCGTGCTCGAGGATTCCACCAAAGCGGTAAACGTCAAAGACCCGCGTCACTCCGAGCGTTTCCCCCACATTAAGCTGACATAACATGATGTGAC